AATGTATTTACCATTTTTAAGCAAGAGTTTTTGTATTACTTTTAAATGCATCTTCTGTCTTTATCCATCTGTCAGAGGAAAAATGTACCTTGTTGTCTTTAACTGTGTAATGACAGAGGCTCTGTCGCTGCCCAAACCGCTGTGGAATCTCTTTTGCGTTCTGATCTGGATCCACACTTGCAAAAAGGGACAGATCTCTGTTGATCTGGGCGAAGGACTCAGGACAGTGCATGTTTTTCTCCCATAGAGAACCATTCGGCTGAGGACAGTCACAGCCCTCATGGTAGACTGTGCCTGGGAAGATTTAATATGAATTATCATGAAAGTTTCACATCATTAATCTTTAAAGTGGAATTGTGGTATACCTTTGAGAATATAGGGCGACTTTGCGACATGCTTGGAACCCAGCAGAACATGGATGTGCAGGTCACGGTAGGTGGCGTACATTCTGTAGCGAACCAAAAACGACCCATCCCGACGATCTAGAACCTGAGTCCAGATCCTGGTGAAATGTTCTGTTGGACAGATTATCTTTACCTCAAAGGTCTTCTCTCCAGGTGATGTAGTTAAACTGAAACATTGGTACATAGAAAGATTAGCTGTTAATAATAGCCAAACATAACACTGTCTGTTTAAAATCCAGTCTATTGTTGCTCTATGTGGGAAATGAGGGAAACTGATCCAGAGTGTTCACCTTAAACATGAAACCTTGAGGGGTCGTCTTTGGAGAATAATGTGACAAAACTACCTGTAGTTCAATCCCTCCACATCTTTATTTGGTATCAAATGTTAAATTTTTACTTTAGAAAAAAAAAGAACAAAAGAAACTGTAACCAGAAAGGATGATCAGTTGGTAACACCTGATACAATAACAGTTATTTCTATGAGCATAACTGGAGGAGATATTTCTGCCAATTATTTTTAACAAGGACAATTTAAACAACATTACCGAACAAAAAAAACATCTTTTCTCAAGAAATAACAAGTAGAAGTGATGGAATCTTAAGATCCACAAGAGTTAAAATGGTTCAATGTGCTTTAAAAACTGCTTTTTTTTATTATTATTATTGCTATCATTGCGAAAATGAAAACAGATGTTGACCATAGATTTGACAAACTGGTAAATTGTACAACAACAAAAAAAGGCAGTGTTTGTATTATTAAAGGTGCAAATTCCTGACACTTATAATAGCCAACACATGTTGGATCCCACACATTGGGGATTTTTTTTAAAATTATTTATTAGATATTAATTCATATTTTTTGATAGGGTCTCTTATATTCAAAAGACAATTAATAATCCATCCAATCCATCAATAAATCCATGGCTAAATAAAAAAATGCACATTCAATTAAATAAACTACATTTAAAAGTAAGTTTAAAGCAGAGCTGCAACTAACAATTATTTTGCAAAACCGAATAATCTGTCGTTTATTCTTTCGATTAATCGATTAATAATTGGATAGCTAAAGATTCGTTAAAGATTTTTGTACGGAATTATACCAGGTGAAACAAAAAATTTTCCACTGGCAAAATGTTTACATATTTTCTTATTAATTTGGTTTCATTTTTGCTCTAAGTGAGTCGCTCTGTCAGCTAAAGGCATCTTTTAGAGTCTCTATATAATCCAATTAACGATTAATCTATTACTAAATTAGTTGAAGATTAATCCGATTAATTGTTGCAGCCCTAGTTTAAAGAGTATAATATTCCTTGACAAGTCTAATGTCACATTTTAGGACTTTTTAATTTTTTCTTTTTCAGTTTCTAGAAACCAAGCATAATAATGTATTTTACTCATACTTGAAAATTCAGCTAGGTCAAATTAAAACATTTAAACAATTAAAGCGTTCTTAGGGTTCATATAATAATTACTATTATCATCTCTAAAGGAGGGACAGGTTGGTTTATACCTGATCTTTTTTCATTTAATGAATAATATATTTCAAAACATGTTTTGTATTTAGTCAAGCTAACTTTTATGGAGGACCAACTCTGCCATATTTAAAAATACAGAAATAAATCAATGTTCAATAGATAAATAAGCATACAATTAATTGATCCTCTAAGACACACCCATTCCTCATTTGAATCATGAGGCAGATATGCATATATTAATGTAAAAACAACAGACAGAAATAAACAGTTTTGAAGAAATAAAGAGGGTGAAAGAAAATACAAAGGAAGAATAAAACAGACACAAATATTATCACATGCACATAAATAAATACTTAAAAAAATAAGTAATAAATAAATAAAGCTGAAGATTATAACGGACATAAATAAATAAGGTAATTATTACAAAAGAGAATAAATAAGAGATTTATACATTAATATTTTAGTGTATAATTTAATTTCTACCTACATTTATTTGTTTGTTGTATTTTTGGGGGGCAATTAATTGTATGCTTATTTTTTATTGAGCATTTATTTATTTATTTCTGTATTTATTTTTAAATATGGCAGAGTTGGTCCTCCATAAACTTTACCCTATATGTAAATCTGATTGAAAATCTGAAACATTTTAATCCATTTTATTATAAAGTGGACTCAAATGTTTAACAGACCATAAACGTGGGTCTCTCTGAACTATACTTTTGTAGAGAATGGATTGTGATTGGATTAGTTTCATAAGATGAGACGGATTTTAACTAATTAAACCCGACTGGCTTTAACATTATCTTTCTTCTTAAGTAGAAAAAATATATTAAAAAAAGTGGGGGATAGCTAAAATGACTATTTAGTAGAAGGTTTTTGATACAGATATAAAGAGACATATAGAGATAGACAGAGAGTTAGTGGAACTAGTTAGGAACAAAGCCAACATCTGCAGAGCAGCTGGGCCCCAAATACTTACTTTCCTCCTAAATTGTCCACCGCCTGAATGTAAAAGAATCGAGCCGAGAGGACGATGTCCACCTCCAGCCCTGGACCCCACACCAACGTTTTAGCCGCACTGATAACTGAGCCAGACTTTTCTCCAGACACTGTGCACCTAAACTCCTCCAAACTACAAGCCAGCAGCAGAAAAAGTCGCACAGACATAACGCCAGGTCTGCTTTCCTCACTGAACTAAAAAACATGAGGAAGATTCGGCCAGCGTATTAATATATTTTTGCTCCGTTTTCATAAACACACGCTATATGAAGCAGATACATTGTTGATATTACATGTCGGTTCTAATATATTTCATCTACAATCTTTTTAAGGTTTGTTTTTCTTCAGTTCAGCTAAACTTAAGGAATCTGCGGAGAGGCGGGTTCAGACCTTAAAAAGCTGCATTCTTATTGGCTTTCGCCTCACTGAACTGCGGTAACGATTGGCTCCACGACCAACAGAATCCAAGGCAAACGTTTCATTGGTCAGCAGCACGGAAGTCATCCTCTGCATAGACGTTACTGCTTTGCCCGGGGTCTGCTCTTTTTGCGTTACCCGTCACATGACACAGCTAAATGCGGGGATGGCGGAGTTTTCTATAGAATAGGTGGTGGTGCAAAGTATCAATTTAAAACAGGCATCTTTTAATTTTGCTCAGTGACTAGGGTAACTATAGTGTAGATGGTAATGCTTCTCTTTCATTATGTAGTACATTCAAACACAATATCAAATTATTATGTTTACCTTTTAACTCTATAATCAACTGATTTCATGAGACACAATCAGAAGTGCAGTTAAACTCTTTATTACTACAACTATTTTAGACTTTTGTTCTTCCAAAAAGTTTGATCCAAAATTGACAGCTTGTCTTGAACCATTCTGAGGTGCTTCTTTGACTTAATGAGTTTCAAAGTGTAATATTGGAACACAACTCATTACTTTTCAATGAGAGGTAGAGCTATCTGAGCATGTCAACACAATTTAGCTGTGTTCAAGCTGTGTCATAAAATCAATTATATTAGCAATGGAAGCTGAAACAGCTGCAAAAGCTGTCAGAACTGTTTGCAATTTTACACTGAATAAAAACTCTTAGTAATCAGATTTTATTAAATACACCAACACCGACTGTTTTAATATTCCCAATCAACATATTTCCTGTGTAGATACAGTTGTTCGGTGAAGGCCCCAGAACTTTACTGAACAAAAAGCAGCATAAAGACCAAGGATCTCAGACAGTGCATGCTGCAGTTTATAGTTTATGCTTAATTTGAAAATGAAAAAGAAACATCTTAACACTTGCTACAACAGAGCTGTTTTTAAAGACTAAACAGGAGGGTGAATTGAGCTTAAAAAGATCTGGGACTGTGGTAAAGCTTTATATTTCAGCATATTAATGCAATATATACTGTACATCTGCTGATGCAAAGGAATGGCTCATATAAAAGCATATTCACATGTCAAATTAAGCAAAGTGCAAACCTAAGTCCAATCTGGTATCAGTAGCAAGAGTTTATAAACTGTAAAAAAAAAAAGTGCTAACATGCGTGCCATTATATGGGTCAGTTTAATCAAGATTAAGAACTAATTTCAGCCTACAGAAGTGCAAATGTGGTAGAAAGCACCCTAAAGAGTTAGATGATCAGGTTTTAATGGTAGGACTTCAAAGTTCCTGTGTAGCCCCTAAAACATCTCCATGCTTGCATCTTGGCACAGGCTGGATCAGATGGTTGTTACTCGAACCATGCATGGTGCCCCAGTGTTTCCAGATATATCAAAACCACACTTGGAATATTTCTTGAAACTCACCCATTTGGAACATTTGAAGATTATCATTTAAAGCATGTTTCACTCCAGGAATGTTGAAAAAACTCTATGTCACAGACTGCACTCTTTGCATACAAAATGAAAATAAAGTTTGTCTAAGTCTTAGAAACTTTATGCATACATTTGAGCCTCTAATGTTAAATCTGTTACAATTTAATTAAAAGTGGAATCCAGGCTCTAAAATGTAAATGTTTTAATTTGCATCTATTACAGTTTATAGCTTTACCTCTAATATTTGTCTTTCACTTTAATAAAGGAACATGACAGCGTTAGTGACCAAACAGGGTGTCCCAGTGTGTACATCAATCAATGTTTATTTCAGTTTTGCTTTTGCATCAACATATTTTCAGACCTTTTTAATCAAGTAGTTTCTGTTACACTAGAATATATCAAGAACGAAAAGTGGAATCCATTGAAATAAGACAAACGTTGTCGCCGTTATTGGGAAAAACCAAATAATTGCCATAACAGCATACTACAGAGTGGAGAACTACATAGTTCCAGTGATTTAGACAGCCAGAATACCAGATAGTACAGTACCAGCAGTAACAGGTAGAACAAATACAGAAAATATCCCAAGAGTCTCTCTTTTTTTTTGTGTGTGAGTGTTTTGCTCTTCAATCAAAGTTAAACTGTACAGTAGATATAAAAACAGAAAACATACAAACAAAAAAAAAGCAAATTAAACAAAAAGAAATCTTAACAAAACACCCTGTAAGCAGAAGTCCGGTTTTTTTTTTGTTTTTGTTTTTTTTTGTGTGTGTGTTTATTTTACCTTTTTGAATTTTGGTTTTGTTTTCTTTAATGCAATTTGTCTGCCACTGAAAGAACTGCACAAAGTACAAATGTCACTGACGGTACAGAGATAGGAGAGTGATGTATCATTATTATTATTAATATTATTATTATTACATGTCAACCCAGATGTTCGATTGAAATGGGGTGTTTTTCTTTTATCTATGTAGTTCTACTGTTAAATGTCAGGATCGTTAGCTTAAAGCACCTGTGTTTGAGGATTGTGTATATCTAAGGAATGTCTCAGCAGCTTGAGAAAGCTGATGGAAATGACTGACATGAGTCTGTATATTTGTTTTTCGGACTTTAAATTAATTCAGCATGTTTTGGATTTTGCACATGAGAGTGGCCTCTAGATGACCATGGCAACTTAATTTAAGCTTGATGTCCTGAACTAGCGTGTGAGTGATGAAAGTTGGTACTCCATAACTTTTTTTTTCTTTTTCAGATTAGTTTAAAATACAGACGAGTACACAAGTACGAAATATCCTTCTCGCTTGACGCCGTTAGTCTGTGTCGTGTGGCTACCCACTGACGTACAACACAATCACAATTTGATACACAACCATGTATCATGAAACATTAGTTGCTTTTAAAAATACATACGCCCACAGTGAAGAGGCTGTAACCATCAAATATTTGACTGAGACACAAGGTTTTCATAGTCAGTAAGAACAATCTTGAAAGGGAAGAAAAAAAAAATTTTTTGCCTTCAGTTGAAATTGCTGCAAATGTTTACACATATACACATTTTTCCCTCACTGACTCAACATCTGAACATCACTAAAAAAATACTGTTATTTCCCCTGAACTGTTTACAGTCACACTACTCACAGACAGCAGAGATGTAACTGATCCAAGCTCACACTTTTATTGGAGAAACTGGTTATATCTCCATGCATGTTGCTCTGTTGAGAGGAAATGTCTGTTTAGGCTTCACATGGAATAATGCACATCAATGCGTTGTAGAGAGAAGGGAGGGTGCAATTTTCTTTTGATTGAAATGAAAGAAAATAAGTCATATGTGAAATCTTTCTTAAACACGCACACAACAAAAAAAAGTCCTGCTTAATACTGACATCTAAGAACAGCAGTTAAAGACGGACGTAAATAAACACTCATAGCGGACCTGCATGAGTGGTGCACTGGGAACGCTCATCTTTTTGTCCCCATTTTTAAGCTTTTGCTCAATGTAAAATGGTTGTAGATTCAAACAAAGCATAAGATTCTCTCTTTTGTGTTTTTAAGAACAGAGACATGTTATATGTGTTAAACTGTGTTCTAAAGAACTTCCTTTTCATGTAAATCAATTTATCTTCAGATTTGACAAATTGAAGTATTTTATATTTGAACAAAACACAATCTAATTCAGTCTGAAGTAAAAAAATATTTTTTTCAGCGAATCCAAACTAAACAAACGCAAAGATAAGCATTAAAGCTTATTGGTTTAAAGACTACTGAACTGTTTCTTTAGCAAATGCTTATGTCACCCTCTAACATGATGGATCCCTCGCCTCAAAGCCATTTCAACCATATCAAAAACATCCTCTGCCCTCACATGGATAGAGAAAAAAAAAAAACCTGTGTATTATTTTAAGATCCATCCCTCCCACACATTACCTCCTCCTGTTAAGCTTCCAGTGATAACATTCCTCCTACTCGCTTTTTATGGCACACAAATTGTATATAGGTTTGTACAACAGATATAAACACACGATTCAGAATAGACTCTCCTTATCCTAAGTCACTCCAGTTTCTGCTTTCATACAACTTTTGAGTACTGAGATGTCCCTCTTTGTAACCTAAGCTGAAAAAGTGAAAACACTTGGGTATGAGCAGAGTTAAGTGTTATTATTATTTTTTTTAAACTTGCACTGTGCAGCCCAGAGTAAATAAAGTTATAAGAAAGTTTCAATATTACATTATTTTAAGGTTGTGTAGATGGTTATTCATGTGCATTTATATTGTATCAAGTAATATTTGCTTACTAATACTAATAAAATCAACCTGAAATTAAATTTAAAAAAAGGGAAAGTAACATATTTTGGCTTAATAGCAATGCAGTTATACGTTTCCCTTTTTCGATATATATATATATTTTTTGCCTGTATCTCAAAAATATAAAGATTTTCATAGTTTCTGTCATTGGCTTACATCATAAATAAAAGTTTCTTTTCGTCATAATTTTAAATCTGTTAAATAAGCATGCTGATTTTTAATATGGCAGTTGGATATTTTTAATACTCATCCATTGCTGTTTCATGCATTTCTTGTTGGTTTCATAACTTTTGAGTATCTACACAGTAAGATCCAGAAAACCCTATCACACGAGCTCACTTTCAGACAAACACACACGCACGCACAGACACTCACACAGAATCGTTGGAATTTTCCAGGTTCCTCTTTAGAGCATCAAACATTGGCGTTCTCCAACAGTCTGTATCAACCCCTGTCTAGAAGAGAAACAAACCCATGCTTGTCCTTCAGCAAAGTGACACCGAAGAACACGCAGGTGATTCTAAAAGCGGGAAAGACAAAGTTACTATCATGTCTCTTCTGATTGCTTTCGTTTCACATGTGAAAGTCCTGCTGCAGGATGAAGTTCCTAACAGGCCAGCGTCAGCCTCGTGCTTGCATCCTGGTTTTAGAACTGGTACCACTTCTTGTCCTTGCATTTCAGCATCAGCTGTAAAAACAAAGAGTTATAAACATTTAATGTCGGGAAATCAAATATTTGAAATAGCTGAATATTCAGTGGTTTCTTTTACTATACTACTACTGAACACATAAAAGGATTGTTTTCGTCAGCATTAATTCATTTAGCCAACCATATAAAAGAAAAATAATCTGTCAGGGATTTTGTAATTCAAGTCCAAGTTCCATCACTATTAGCTTAGAACCATGCAGCTGTGCAAAAAAAAAAGAAACAAACAAGGGTCTTTTTCACCTTTTGCAATGAAAAATTGAAATAGACTGTACTGCGTGCTGCAGCTCCCTGATCTTAGGGCCTGATCTTTTATAATTCAGAGGGGACACAAAGTTGCATGTGCATTTTGTCTTTAGTACATGCTAAATTTGGGTGTGTTGCCCACTTATTTATTAATTAAAATGAGCATATTTCATCTTCTAAATGCAGTTAAGAGTGGCCATTAAAGAAGCCTTTTAGTTGGAGGTAGTTAACATAAAAATGATTTTAAAATAACCATAATAATACTTAATAATTAAAAATAAACTGTGCAAATAAGTAAGGTTAATAAAAAAAAAAGAAGCATGAAAAATATATATTTGAACAGGTGTAATAGTAACAACATGACCATGCTTCATGGTTTGTTAAATCCTGGTTGCAAGGAGTATGAGAATTTTTGCAGGAATCTTAATATTCTATTTTTTTTATATATTCTTTTTTTCATATATTTTATTCTTTTTTTTTATTTTGGTTTAATTAGATAAAGATTGTCTGCCATCCTGCTGCATGAATTTGTGCCCACCTGCATTCATGAATTTGAGCGCTTTGGTCTTTACAATATGATCTGCATATTATTGGAGGCGCAAATCACTTTGCACCTTCTTTGAAGATCTGTTGTTTGTGCAGGAACACATGCACATATGTTTAAGAACATGCAAGCCATCTGAAGAACAGGCCCTTTTAACTTTCCTGCCATTATTTTTTCTAAAATTTGTAGTAAAACGCATTCTTTGAATCTTTATTTCTGAAAATCAACCAGCAATTATTTTGTGATTGTTTCTGATGTATTTGAAGAATTTTAAAGATTCAAATGTGAAAGCACATTTTCAATCCCATTTATTCTAACGAGCACTAGGTGCTGTGGTGGACATGTTTTCATCCCAAAGCTCTCACTGAGGTCTTTGTATAGCATTTTTTTGCTGATCCAACAATCACAGGAAATAATCACCATTTCTATTGTCCTGTTTTGGTCCTTTTATGTGAATCTGGATTATATACTCAAACAGAAAACTGAGCATGACAGCAGCACTAAGATTTTACCTTCATGAAAATGTGGATCATATGTTAATTATTATGGTGTGCAAAGGAGAATATGCAAATGTAATAACTTATTTCAAACCTGAAGCAGATTATAGGTGCAAGTTCTGCATCTTTATTATGTTTGAAGGTCAGTTGCAAAAATGTCAGCAGTGATACAAAAACAAAGTATATGGCAGCAATGATAGATGAAAGAGAAAAAATAATATTTCAAGCGTGTCTCAACATATTTGGACTGTGAGAAATTTTAGTAGGAGAGACATATCCTCCATTGAGCACTGTTATATTTTTTTGGTCTTTCTTTGGTCTTGATGGATCATTCCAGTAAGTTGCTGAAATGTTGTTGTTTTTTTGTTTTTTTTTGAAAAACTGTGCTGCCTTGCAGACCAACCATTGTTCCCCCTTTCTTTTTTATAAACTTAACTCTGTACTTTTGTCGTAATGTGAGAAAAACCCTCCAGAAATTCAACATTCATAAAAAATGTGCATTAGGGATGTCTGAAAATATGAGACAGCTTTTTCTCGGTCAGAATTGGATACAATAACTGACAGACTGTGACAGCTGGAACGAATCAGATGTAAAGGGCTATTCTGCCATGTTTGCGCCTCAAAGTCATCTTATAGATGTTTGGTCCAGATTATTATTTTCTTTTCATTTCAGACAAACACAGAAGGTAATTTAGCTTGTCCTCTGCCTGCCATCTTTTTCTTATTGCTATTATACATGCTATGTTAACCCAGAAATGGTGAGAATTGTGACTGCCTCTGGGACAGGTGAAATAAATCCACTCTGCTCTCCAAAAATGTATTAAAATAGGGTGATCCAAGCACTTTTTCACCTGTTATCAGTTGCACTTGCAGTTTTGCTAGATCCTGTGCAACAAGCCTACGAATTACACCTGCAGTTTTTCTGCACAAGCAATATAGTGCTCCTTATTTGGTATCTTAGTAGATCAGGGTTTACAGCTCCCACACAGCAACATTGTTTCATCCTACAGCATTCATTATAACAAAGATATCACCAATTTAGTGACTTTGACCAACTACTAGAACAGCTATATTCACTTACTTAGGTGTTAAAAAACTGTGCCCTGGACCAAGTATCTGATTTATCAAGCTTATTACACACAAAACGCGGCCTGAAACTGTATTCTGGCATATACATGTTTTGGAGAAAAGGGGAAAACACAGACAAAGACCATAAAGTGAAAATATTTAAGCCAGATCAAGTCTTTCAGTGTCACTTTGTATTAAACAATCATAGATGGAAGCCATCATGAGCATCAAATATCGGAGTGTACTTCCACAGGTCAAACATAACTATACATGATGACCATCTAAATAACTGCAAATCAAGTCACAAATTAAGACTCTGCATCACACTGATAACATCATACCTAATAGAATTCAGCTCAAATGTTTTTCTCCTGCATTTTCGCACCATATATATTTATTTATTTTTGCACTGCTCTAAACTTGCATATCAATGCCTTTTTGCACCATGTCTCTCCAACACTTTTTGCATTTGATCACTACTGCACTTTATGAATGGAAATGTCTTTTTTTAACTGATAAGCTGCTGCTCGTTCACTGTCTGAAAGCTGTATAAATGAAATTTAGCATTGTCATGGCCCCTGGCTTTTAAGGATTGTGCAGGTTTGTTTTACTTATGCAGGTTCAGCTCTGACAGAAATCTTCCTTGTTGGCTGCCTGAAGGCTGCAGAGGAGCAGTGACATGATTGGACCAGCAGAAGATTGTCAAGCCAATCAGGATGTTGATGAGGCCCACCTGCACCATATACAAGCTCCTGGAAAGCTTTCATTTGAGGTACAGCTAGTAGGAAGAAGGTTTTGGTTAAGCTGTTCCCCCACCTTTGGTTTCAAACTGTTTTGGGAAGTTGGAACTCTTTGACCTAGCTTGTATATTTTTTCATGAATCTGCCTTACGTGGACTTGTTCAAGCTAGAAGCTTGTGTTGGGGAGGATTGGTGCTCCCTTTGTCTTTTCTTTTGGGTTGTTTTGAGTTAAACTTAGATTGACTGGTTGGGACAGTTTGTAATTAAATTTGCACTTAACCAAATCTTGAATTTGTTTGCCCTTTTCTTTTGTATTAATTGGGTTAAGCTGTATTGTGTTTTGACTCTTTTAATAAATCATAGTACATTCCACTTATTTGCTCTGGTCACATTTTTATGTTAGCTCCCCAGAACTCCTAGACCTTGAGGGAGTAACAGTTGTATACACTCTCTGTATACAAAATTACAATAAAAGTTGTCTACTTAAATGTATCCATCTCCCTAACAAACTTTCAGCCTTGAGTTCATTTAGATTTTTCTTGCTTTCATTGCCATTGGTAACAATGAAATAACATTGATATGGTGTCCTATTTAAATACACAAAGACATACATGTGGTGCTTTGCCTAAACCATTTATGCTGGATTATAGGCGTGTAGAGGGCTGATCATGACGTGGAGCTTTGTGCACTCAGGTGTGAATTATTAGGAAAATGTGCTTTGTTTTGTGAGTGTGGACACTTTGATAAGTCTGAAAAATATTTTGGCATTATATTTTCAGCTGTTGGCCTTACATCTTTTAGTAGATTCTGATACAATCTTTGACAAATGAGAACCGTTGTGCGTGCTAAACTCTAAATACTGCTGTCGGCAAGATAAAGAGCAATGCTGAAAGCCGATGAAATACTAGCCATTGCATTTTATGTCTGAGGCATATTTCTTTAAATCTAAGGCAGGACCGTAATTTTCTTTAATGCTTGGTCGGACATTATTTTGCTGAGCCTCACTGAAACAATGACCTGAATGATGTGGGTGTAATGTGAAAAAAAGAAAACCTTCTAGTATTAGGTTAAAATTTTATGAAACAAAAAACAAACGAATGTTGACAGAAGCAAAAGTTTAAGTTGACTGGATCAAATCAGACACAAATGCAAATTTTAGATAGGTAAGTTGTATAATCGTCTATAAGACTTGAATGTCTGTTGCTCTCAATAAAAACATATAACATAGACATCAGGATTGCAATACTAGATCTGAGAAATCAGACAAATTGCAACATTAACGCTCAAAATCACAATTTGAACAAAGTGTAGAAACCAATAACTAGTTGATAATTACATTTTCAGTGCTATGAATGCACATGCTACATAACAATGTATGTATTTCATAAGCTGGACATCAAGGCTCCCCCTGCCTTGTTGTCAAAAAATAAATTAGGAGTTTAAGATGTTAGAGCTCACATAGAATAGTGTGAACATTTCTTTAGACCTATGAATTAGACCATGTAATACAGATGAAATAGAATATGTTATTTTACTGTACTTTAAAATTATTGAGCTCTCAAGAATACAAATAGCATATTCCATTTGAAATGAACTATCAAACTGGCAAGTTTGTGAGTGAGAGGCTTCTAGCACCTAAATGACTCTAAATAGATATGTAATGTTTTGGTTGCTGTAGACAATAATTTATCCCAATTTCTTAAAAAAAATGAAGAAATAAAGTATAGAAAATATTTTTTTGAAAAAATGCATGCCTTAAGTGCAGACCTTTAAACTGGAATTTTGCCTTTCATCCTCACCTCATGAGCGTGTTTGGAGAACGTTTCTGCACTTGTCATCATCAAGGCAGTTCGCTCCTCCAGCTCCCCCAACCTTTGGCCTCTCTCATCCAGAGCAATGCGAGCCCGTGCCAGATCACCGACTACTCCACTGGCTGCAACCTTCATTCCCTCTACACCTCCCTGACCGGGGATATGCTGCGCCAAACTCCGAGAAGCCTTCCCAGCTGCTGCTTCACCAACTGGAAACAACATCAGGTGAAATTAGATTTTAATGAAGTGGTAGCATTGATATTTTAACTGTGTTTTTTTTTTTTTTTTTTACTTTTAAATTAATAATTAAAGCGTTATTTCTTTCATGTTTCATTATTAGTGATGCACAGGCTGAGATCTTTACTGCAGTGTATAATGGAATTGTGTAATAAGTTTTTGAAAACAGTAAAAAAAGACACACAGAGTTCCTCTCTGTCGAATGTGTGGGCATTTCCTCCAAAGAACCCCTTTAAAAATCCTCTGTTTTGAGCTTCTGGTGTTTCAATTGGAGTAAACAGCTCCCCGAGCATTTCCTGTAATGAACAAAAACAAAGTAAAAAACAATTCTTAGCTAAAACACCTCTTTTATAGATTTTTTTTTTTTATAAAGTCTCTAGTAAACTCTCCTGACCATTACCTCTAGATGGCACTATGGCAGCATCACATTAATTAATCCACATTCACATGTTGAATAATTATCTATGATGATTCTCATATTTCAGTAAAAGCATTCACTCAGTAAAACCATATGATATAAACATTCTTGAAAATGTGCAACATGTATGGGAAACATGATGTCTGATGGCTAAACCCACCATTCATCGCAGACTTTAACGATGGCATGAATAATGGATAAAGCTCTTTTACAGCACCCCTGCTGTTTTGTATCCAAAGATATATATATATATATATATATATATATATATATATATATATATATATATATATATATATATATATATATATATATATATAGATAGATAGATAGATAGATAGATAGATAGATAGATAGATAGATAGATAGATAGATAGATAGATAGATAGATAGATAGATAGATAGATAGATAGATAGATAGATAGATAGATAGATATACAGTGTTCACCTGCAGGTTGTCACACATCTCCTGGCTGTATGTAATTCTCTGGATCTCTGTTGGGGAGCTGAGATACAGTGCCTGCCCCTCATTGGTGAAACAAAAGGTTCTTGCAATGCGCATGTCTGTCAGAGGCAGGTAATTGACATCCATCAGCGGTCTTAAACTGGGCAAACTGTGTGATGAATGACAGGAGGGAAAAGTAAATTAGACACCAGGGGAAAGCTTCGATCATATAAGTTATACCTTGTAGGAACCCAAAGATGGTAACAGCTAACTCTGTACCCAGCAGTGAGAAGGAAATCAGATATTCAAATAGAACCAATTTGCCTCCAGCTGAGTCATGAGGACTAATCTCTACAAGCAGATTCTCTCAATTATGAGAACAGTATACTTTCAAATAAACGTGTGAGACAAGACTAGAAAGTTGGTGTGCAATCAGATATAGCTCCCAAATGGTATTATAATATTCATGACCTGAACAATATACAATATACACCATAAAATCAAAGAAACCAATCAGCTATACTTCTAAGTGTTGGGATCTCAAACACTCACTATGCAGTGAATTTTAAGAGTTCTGATCTGAAACTGAAACTAAATTTCTTGCAAAATTATTAACACCCTCATTTTGTAAAATTACAACCACAAAACTCAGTGAGCTTAATCTGTATTTTATTTTATGGAACAAAACAAATCATGAAGGTCAACTAAAAAACAAAAACAAAATGAAAAATAAAAAAAATACAAGTGTATTGATTAATACAATCTGAAAAATAGGTTTCAAGTTTACTTAACTCCGATACCAAAGATGAAATCCAGTGCAACCTATTACCTTTAGAAATCACCTAATCACCTAAGTTATTGTAATCTGCCTCTTTGCAACCTAATTTCAGTGTTGATTGAGATGTTCTGTGAAGTTTTAATGATTTTAATCTGTTTTATGAACACGAAAGACAGGCCAGAGTAAAAGTTGTGGAGATTTTTTTAAAATGAATTAGGTTCTAAAACTAAATCCCAAGATTGAAATGTCTCATGGAGCACTAGGAAATTATAATAAAAAAAAGTAAAGAGCACAGCATAACTGTAATGCTACAGAGGCATGCCTGTTTTACCTAAACTGGTGGGATGGGAAAGGAAAACATTATTTAAAGGAGCTTTTAAAAGCCCTACAGTAGATAGGCAGAGATCCACAATTAAGGTGTACCAATATGTTGACAACTATTAGCCATGTTGTTGTGGATCTAATTACAACTTCACTGTTAAGGATCAGGTTATGGCTGTGTTGCAGCACAGCCATCCCTTTGACATCCTAAAACTCACCCTGTTGGGACCTTTGAAACTACTGAAACACCCTTTTTCTTTCTCTACCAGCAGACCTACATTTGGATCCAATGGAGAGACAAACATTCCAGCTGGACATCCCTTTATATGTGGTGAAAACTCCAAAAAAGTGGTCAGTTTTCCTGGAAAAAATGATTGCATCCCTCTTTGAAGAAACTTAGAGCTGAAAAGCGAGCATCACCATTGCTGATATTGCCTGTTTCTACAACGGATGAGGGGCATTTAAATCTCCGACTGATTGACTAAAATAGCACCTCGTTCCATCCTGACCTGACATGCTGTGCCCAGGATGCCTTCTACTCTGTGAGTGTTCCTGACCCACGAACCGCTGAGTCCCTGCTTGCCTCCAGCGTTATTGAGCAAGTTCTCAGCCCATGAATCCACCAAGCTGCTGTGACTACCTTCTCCTCATGTAAGTGAGCAGGAACCCTTGCAAACTGAGTGCATCAGGAAGACGCTCTCTTACAAGGTCTGTAAGTGATCAAAAGGTTTAAGGTTCTGCAATATAACCTGTGCAGTACTGAGCTGACTCTGAATTTTCTAAGCTGCCATGGACACAGTGGAACCAGACCAGAGCCCCTTCTTCCCCCCCACTGTGAGAGAGCAATAAATAAAGAATCTTCCTATTACTAAAAAGGTTGGCTAGCCAAGGTGAGTAGAATTTGTCATGATCTTGGTGCTGATGACTGGCTTACTCATTTCATTTTCCTGCATATCTCCACCTGTTTACTTTTTACTATTCATCTTATCCACCTGCTCCTGCTTCTATTTAACCAGCTCTCTAACCAGTCATCAGGTTTTGATTATTCTCTCAAGCCAGTGGTGAGAGTGATTCAATGTTACCTCTGTGTTTCTGATGACCTAATCCTGACCTCTTCTGCCTCTCAACCACTGAGCTTGTCTTTACCTGTCTGATCTGTTTGCCTGACCTGTTTTTGGACTTCTGCTGGATTCTGCCTGTGTGCTGAAATTGGAGCTGCTTCCTGTCACAACCTGGATTTCCTTTCTGAACCTCTTCGGACTTCTGATCTACTGGTCCTGAATCCTGAACATGTCCTCAACCCCGGCTTTGGATAAGCCCACTGGATTTTCTTATGTCAGCACGGATTTGGTTCCCTGCTTGTTCTCTGTCCTCTGGGGTTGCAGCATCTGGGGACTGTGGGCGGCACCCGCCATAGCTTGTTGGCAGCCCACCAACTGGATCCTTCTTGGTTCTCTAACTTTGCGTCAATGACAAGCGTTCATTTTCTACAAGTAGATTAACTGTTGTTTTCTTGGTCTAAAATCTCTATGAAAATATTTTTTTAGGATGTTTCATTTGTCCTTCTATGCCCTCAGATCTTAATAAAAAGAATAAAAATAAGCTAAGACTTTTTTTGTCACCTTGTAAATGGCAGAACTCAGTTTGTCTTAGAAGTTAGTGCTTTCCCTCTAGACTGAGAATGATTGTTTTCTACTTTCGGCTACTTTAGATCACTATTGAAATGTTAAATAATAGCAAATATGGGTAATAATATGTTGAGACTCCAAAAGAGATTTTATTCTTAAGAAACAGGTGCTATATAGTTTGGGCAAGTGGAGTTGCCATATGATGACCTTGTAAGAAAGGGGAGGGCCCTAAGCAGATCTGACCACCCGAGCAGATCTGGTACCTACTTTTGGCATGGACTAACATCCATTGGCTCCTGGCCTATGGCTAACATCCTGCTAACGTGCAAGATTTAGCCTGATTGTGGTATCATGTTTGTAGCCTGTTTTCGTTAGCTGTGGATTAGCTCTGTTAGCAGCTAAGCTAGCAGTTTCCTTGACAACAGAAGCATCAATGCTGTCGTATCAAATGCATTGTGCTTATTGGCAGTTGTCCATAATTTGATTTTGATTCAGCTGATTGATTGAACTGCTATCAATGAATGAGTTGCATGTTAATACAATCTATTGTTCCACCTCTGTCTGCAGTATATCATCCATGCTGCTAAACTGATGGACATTTCCTCAGTGCATCACAACAGCTACGCTAATGAATTGAGCATCATCAAACACTCTACCTCGAGGACTCATTGGAACCCTTTTATGTTTACTGGTTATTTAATGTATTCTGTTTTAATTCCAGTAGCTTGTAGAGTTTGCAGTTTATCAAACATAATACTACGGTGACAGGGATTATTAGGTTCAATAAAAGTACCATTATTTTAATTATGGTTGTCTGTGATAGTTTATACAGCAGTGACAGATTGTCTCCAATAACTGAATTAACTGCCTTTGAGTTAAAAACTTAGAGAAAGACAAATATTTTTTTGTGGTTAATGATTTATAACTCTGCTTAATTGTAAACAAAGTTATTGACATTTACAACTTCAATTTTAACAGCCGGTCCAAACATCAAGTCACAAAGGTAAGCCGTTAATAACACCTAGTAATTAAGCACACTGTCATTTATAACCATTTGACAAACATTAAGTGATGTTTACCATTGATTAAAGAAATTATTAACTATAATCTATTTTACAGTTATTAATAAACTCATAATAAAATGGCTAAAATTGCTCATCAATGTGCCTCACAAATTTGGTCTAATTTTAAAGTGGTAAAAAGAAATTCATCGTTGAAAAAAGCCAGAAGTGGTCTAATTTGCAGTTTCCCTCAAGCCATTAAGATGACATGACAGACATGCCCAAACTATCCCTACTATGAAACATGTAAGTGGTAACATTATGCAGTAGGGGCAGTTAATGGTGAGTTGTTGGACCAATGGTAAATGGCTTTCAACCCTGGAAGAACAACTTCTAGTGGTGGCAAATGATTGGCAAGAGGTGAGGTATATTTTTTCCTCCAGCAGGACAAAACCTGTAGCATACAACAAGAGTTACAACAAAAAGCTCCAAGCTTAATTATTTGCTGAAATCCAATTATGAATCTGTTGCATGACTTGTATTATTTTTTACAGATACTGTTCATCTTATCTGACTAAGCTTGACTTGGATTGGTTTGTGAAGAAGAATGGAAAACATTTTCCTGTTCTTAATGTCTGAAACAATAATAGACAACCCCCCTTAAAAGTTGGAATTGTGTTGATGTATCACAAATAAAACAAAACAAAACAAAGCAAAAAAACAATCAAGAGAGACACAAAAAAACATTTTATGGAACTTTGAACATTTGTGGTTGTAAAATGACAAAATTTAAATACTTGTATTACTTTTATAAAGTGCAGTGTATGCAAGTAAGAGATAGGACACATGAAAATAAAAACCTTACTTATTTAAAATCATGTGCCAAAAACCCTGAATATGGTTAATGTATATAGTTTTATCATTTATTACATCTAAAAAGGTAATCCATGATAAAACTAGCTTCAAACTACAGAAGGACATTTAGATCCTCCTGTAGTTTGAGGCTCATCAATATGAAGTGTGTTTACAAAAAACAAGCGAATTTTATTCTATGCTAAAGCACCTAATACTGCTACAGCTGCTGATAAGTTTGTGTGATCCATATGTAGAATCTGGTGAGCAGTGGCGATTGTACCTGAGTGTCATGACATGTCCATTAGCGCAGAAGCATGCCAAACACACACTGTTGCACAGAGATACCACATCTGCTCGGAGCACAAAGGATGACTCTGTGATGTTGTGGACAAAGAGGCAAGACTGTGAGGGCATCAGGAACACTTTGGCCTGCCTCTCAGAGCACACCACTGCCAAATGTCCTTCCCCAAAGGCATCCTGGGAAGAGGATGGGGAAAAGTGGACCAGCTTGCGCCTCCTTGGTCGATCAGGGTCCTCTGGAGCATTCAGGTCCCTCCAAACCTCATATGGGCTCTGAATAAGAGCTCCATTGCAGTCCAAGAAAGCAAAACGAAGCACAGAGCCTTTCAACATTAGGACTGCCCCTGAAACGATCAGATAGATATAAAAAAAGTGGTAAGCGGACCAAAATTTCAATGGCTACAAATACAAACTCTATTGAACTGCTGGATGCAGTGCTCTAGTTTATGTTAGAGTTGTACTTTTTCATTTAGTCAAGTGCATTCTGAGCCATACAACACAATTAAACACAATATTCACTTCTATAAGGCCATTAATCCACAATGTGGAATTCATGACAACATACATTTCACATTTGATCTTAGATTGAGATCAATCGAAAAAGTTTAGAAATGGATAGGGGCGAAGATGAATTTAATGTTCAGTTTTAGCATGTATTAGTTCATTTTACATCGTAAATTTGAGAACAGTGACGTCTTGAAAGTATGGACAGCTGAGAACCTTAAATCGCAATAGCTATAGGTTTTTTTTATTTTTTACACACATTACTTAAGACAGGCAATTAAATAATTTTCACCTTGAAATATGTATTCCTGCCTTAGTTCTGACAAATCAGGAAGCAATGCACATCTGTCTGCTTCTGTTTTAATCATGTGTAAACGAACTGCAAAACCTTATGAACTCCTGAGTGATAGCAGTAATTTTGCCAAATCAAGCATGACAAAGGCCTATTAAAGTTCCCTTCCAATGCAGATTCAATTCAATGAAAATAAATGAGTTTTCAATGCTTGATGTATTTTTAAGATGGTCTAAAATATATATATATATATATACACATTTTTTTTTTCCTTTTTCAAAACAAATACGTTTTAATAAGGACCTGTATTTCTGACAGGCACCCCAATGCAGGTCTGCACCGATTTTACAAATCAGTACAGGAAATCCAGGCTAATCCGGGCCCGTTTTTAAAAATCTGCTTTGTTAAATAATTTTATGTCAAACCGGAGTCAATCCAAATTTTTTATCTATACTCTAATTTCAACACTTTTTATCCCCAATGCTGTTTGTAGAATGAAAACAAACCATTGTAGATGAAAACCTAAACTTTCGGATTTAATACGATAAGGTTAAGACTGACTATTGGCTTCCTACGATTTTGGGACCGACTAAAAATGGTGTTACATTGCCCCTGAAAAAAGACACTCGTAGCTGTTCTTCCCATCAAGGAAAGCCCCCCATTTTTATATCATGTATAGATCTTTAATGTTCTAGTTTTGTTTCTCTTCATGCGTCATTAACTCTTTGAAATACAAGGATATTCAAGCATAGGGTGAATCACACTTTTTTAATTGTCACTCATTTTAGCAAAAGTGAGAATCTCTTTTATATTAGTTCTGTATACTAACAATTGCAAGCCTAATTTGTCATCTAGAATCCCCCCCTTTTGAGATAATACAGGATATCTCTAATCTACACTTTCTATTGTAAATTTAATTTAGAGCCCATCTTATAAAATATGCATTTTAAAGAGACCAAAAAAAATAAATAATTAAAAGACATTTCAAAGTATAGGAATTGAATTTGATGCATGGTTCTATCAACTGTGGCTGCATTCTAGGCCTATCTCAGTTGTGACTTGAGCACTGAGGTTGTTCAAAACAACACCATGTAATGATTTTGGTTCCAGACAAATCTAGCTCTACTAATGTTAAGCACATTTACAAGAAAAACAATGGTACGCTATCAAAAGCAGATGATTTAACCAGGCATTAAAAAATACTCAGACAGAAACATGACCATGGTCTTCACCAGATGTTTCATCAGTCACAAACTAGAAATCCATTTCTCATTATGACCTAACGCAATGCAATTTGTATTTAATTAACACCAGCCAGCAAAACACGTGTAAGAAACATATTTATAGCTTACCACTAGGGCCAACTGTGACAGGGTCCTCCATCCGCTCCTCATGGTCAGTGGGGATCGACAGTGGGATGAGAATGACCACTCCTAAACTAGTTCCCACCCACAGACATGGTGTGGGGAGGGCATCATGCTTTCGTCCATAGGACTCTCCAAACTGCAGTGTGGTGATAGCTTCTTTGGTGTCCCTGTCAATGCTAGACACGCTGGAGCTGCGAGAGCGGCTGAAGGAGTTTTCACGGCTCTCTGCAGCAGTGGCAGCAGCGAGAATGGCCGAACACAAAGGCATGGTAGAAGAAGAAACAATGAATGAAGAGACAGATGGGAAGCAATGGAGAGAAGATGATGAGCAATAAAGAAAAGAGACATAAGGTACAGTTTAAGAAAGAGGTTATTTACAACAGTTGGGGAAAGATTGATGGGAAGGAATGATAGCATGATCAAAAAGGAGGTATGGCAGGATGATAAAAGACAAAAAGAAAAGAGGGGCATATGGAAATAAAAATGAGTGTTAAGGCAGGTAGAAAAAACATCCTGAAAACTCAAATATGGTTCATATATATTGTCAATAAGTGATTTAAAACATTGCAACAAAATGCCAACGGATAGATGTCACATTTAGAAGCAAAAAAGACATACCTGAACACAATCACCACCTGTCCGAAACACACACTTACACACCCTCACACATATGAGAAGACACATATATCTACGCTTTGATACCAGTCCATAGTCACTGACAGGACTCAGTCCTGAGAAACTCAAACACACACACACACTAGGAGCAGTGCCAATTTCAAAAGCTCCTTTAACTCCATTTAGGCACTCTGTGTTCCACTCCTCCATTGTGTGCTTAAGGTTTCCATCATGAAAGTATTTCCGTATTGCTGCATTTCTGAATTATTTAGAGCCAAGAGACGCGCAGTACTACCTACACTCTTAGACTGATGCTACAAAAAGTAGAGGCTTCATGTAAAAGTAACTACAGATGGAAGCAAAGCATGCTGTGCTGAGATGAATTGAATCCCAACAGATATTGAAAAACTGTCTCTATCTGACATGTTTTAGAGTTTGTTGAATAAATCATGCTATCTAACTGTGTCTGACAGGTGCTTTTTTTGTATTAGCTAAATTCAAATAGAAAATATTATAATCCTTAAAAGATTATCACAATTTTGTCTAATCAGAATCATCAACAGTAATATGTTTTTCTAAAGATTTTATGTCAGGCCAAAAACATATTTTAGTAATATATGTGAAAGATAAAGCAAAGGAAGTTTATTAATCAAGTAAAAAATGGGCTGTATACGAAGGCATATCAGAGATATATTTTTGACAGTAAAAAAGTAGCATATTTTCCATTAGCAACTAGCTGCTTCTTTGATTTTGTGTTTCAATAAAATACAATAAATTGTCACTGATGCTTTTGGAGGCAATGTGAAAAAATGTAAAGCTTAATAGTTTCTCAGTTTGCTCTAACCAGAGATGTGCTAAAATGTTTGGTCTTTAAATCCCAGTATAGCTACTGTACTGAAATAAGAAAATTCACCCTTAACCTTAACAGCCATAACAAGCAAAGGCGTCGTAAAGGATTCAGCAGCTCTTCTATAAAGGTCACATGACCCACCCAGTCCCAAAACAGTCTAAACAAGGTGACACAGCTGAAGGCATGTTTAGATGACACAGGGCCATGAAAAAGGTTGACATTCTGACTGACGGACGGACGCAAACAAATCAGCAGGACAGCTGTGGATGTTTTTGTGTGTCTGCCAAAGCCCCCTTACCTCTCTCATTCCAGCAGTACGAGGTGGTGGTGTGGTGTTCGTCATGGGAGTACATAGTGACTCCATGTAACTGCTGAAGCATTGCCCTTCTTGATGCATGCCCTAATTCCCCCCCCCAACAACATGAAGTCCATAGAACAAAACCACATCCCCACCATGGCCCAAAGGAACAAGTACACACACCAGTGCGCACAAACACACAAGATCAGCAACGCAACAAACGAGATGGACAGATCAACAACGGTTTTAGAGAACGACAAAAAGAAAGAGAAGAAAAGAAAGCAACTGAGCATGGAAAACACGTTTTTTTTCCCAAGTATAACAGACTGTAAAAAAGTGTAGCAGTAAAAGATGTTTCTAGGGTCCACATGACCTTTCTTCATGTATCATCTGTCTGATTCTGTACATCACCATTGGATTAACACAACACAGTTGCTTCAGGTTGTACAACCGTTTCTGCTTTTAAAGTGTATTGCTTAACAGATATTGCAAGCAGTGCACTACAACTTAAAGGTATAGTGGAGGATTTTTGCAAATTTTGTAAGACACCTGCCCTCTCCACTTTGATAAAAAAAAGTGCACATGCACAACCCTGTTCCCGCTCCCGAAAGGGAACACCTATTAAACGTGGGTGAGAGAATGTACAAGCCCATTTCTCCTTGTGCACCCTCTGTTTAAAAGTTGCTGCTTGCATCGCTCATACAAACTTACTTTCCAAAGGATTTGCAATTTTTCCACAATGTCAGACTCACAACAGGTAAGTGAAAATGGTGACGAGCAGGACAGCCTTACGCAAACATAAAACCAGAACGATTGATAATTAGCAGGACCACCTATTTGACCATCCACCCAGATCCTCCACTATACCTTTAACAGATTTTGAACAGCACTATTGCATTAAAAAGTTATAATGGACATTTCCATTAATGTTTTCATCATATTCAGTAATAATTCTACCCATGCTTTGTATTATACAGCAGTTTAAGCTAAAAAGGATAAACAACTTGAAAGAAATATGTCGAGCCCCCTTATGTGCCCAGCACATGTGCAAATATATCCCATGTGGTAGAAAACACAACTTCCTTACCGATTATGACAATAAAAATAGGTGAGTTTGATTTTTTCTCAAATAGAAGCTGCATTTATTCTGAAGACTGCATATATCAGTGCAGCCCTCTACTGTATAGGTGCGGTATGTTATTTAGGAAAAGATTTTTGATTTTTAAACAGATCAAGTTGACTGATACTGGTCACCAGCTGATTAATGGAGTTTTCCATTTTTTTCCCCCTACATTTTCTGTTGTATCTACACAGAAAATTAGCTTATTCATTATCTTACATATCACTCTTGTATATCTTATAAGCTGTATCTGCTTATTTTTATCTGTATTAATATCAAGTTTTAGTGTTGTTTGTGGGCTCTCTACTCGTCATTAACTTGCTGTGGATACACAGAATTTTCACAACAAAGGAAAATATTTATAATATATTTGTGCATATTAAAGATATATCTAGATGCTTCTGTAATTGTAATTATGACGAATCAGCTTGATCATCGTTAGGCTGGCACTGTCTGGCTGGAAACTAAAAAGTCTGATTGTTTTACAGTCAAAAGACACATCAAAGTTTTGTTATAACAGATCACATTTTAGATACCATAAACATTTTACAATCAGAATTGTGAAAATCTGTTTATGCAAAAAGTAGAAAAGAAGAAGTTAATACAATTCTCTACAAAACATGAATTAGCCGACATTATTATCAATAGGGTAGGGTTCGAATTCTAGCATAGTGTATTTCAGTTTACAAGGTTGTTAAAAGTTGACTTGTGCAATTAGGTAGAAATACATATCAACATATGTATATATGTAATTTTCATTTTTTCCTCTGCTAGCTGCTGTACAATGCTGCAGGCATATAACGAGCATACAAAAGCCTTCTGTTGTACGTCTGGGTGGCGACAGCCTGCTTTCGCCGTGTGTCACTGGGGTGTGTTTACGCTGCGTGACAGTGCCTGTGGGGTGCTGGCTAATGAAAGTCATGCACAGTGGTGTTCTGACAGGACACAGGGACCCCTTGGGGCCCCTTGCAGGGAGGCAGAGGCAGGCAAGGCGGTATTAGGGAGGTGAGACAGACAAGGTGCCAGTGCTAAACAGGGCTGTGCATACATACAGCTGTAACACATGTTAGAGATGTTGACAAAAGGCTGTAGATAAAAGCTAATTTTGGTTTATTTGTCTCCCTAAACACAACCTTACATTACAAATTGTAAAAGCTAAGTGGTAAAGAGTAAGATTTACCTTATATTGCAACAAGTTAAAAACTTCTAAAAGACGTAGGAACAATGTTTTCTGGTTAAAAGCAGACCCAGACTCTTATTTGTTTGAATCACTAGCTACTGTATGTGTTATGATCTTTTTGAAAAAAATAAAAAATGTATGTGTAAAGCTAAACTTTTGTTTGCAAGGCTCCTCCTCTGTCAAACATACCATCGGATTTCACAAACAAACACAGTCCTGAGTTAAAAATTGGATTGTTAATATTTAATAGGTCTGTGCTTAAACGAGAGACGAGTGCTATGGAAATGTTTACTATACATTCAGTCACAGGCTTCCCTGCCATTTCCCTCCTCTGTTTCAAGGCCTGTCATGCAGGCCTCATTATCATCAGCCTCATTTCTGCACTGCTTTCTGACCTTTAATTATTTCTGTTATCCTGCTGGCTCTTCACTGTGGTAACCCAGTGCAGCTGATACACAACAGTCCCAAAGGCAGGTAACCACTACAGTATATGCTAAGGTGTGCTGACAATTTAAAATTTAATCCAAAAAGTTGAGTCATGTGAGAGAGAAACAAAAAGCGAAGTTTACAAAAAAAAAAGGAAATGCAATAGTATCCCCAGTAAGTCATAAAATAAATGTATATTTTATGGCAGCAACATAGTGTTACGTGGAAATGCTTGGAAATGACAACCTTTAACTTGAGGATATTTATTCAGTGTGGAACAATAGAAACGCACAAAAAAATAAAACAATTAATAGCACCTGATGGTTGTTAAAAAGACCTGGTAACATTACAACTCCAATACTCAGTTTGGAATATCTTTTTTTTTTCTAAATATCTATCACCTTACTTACTGATTTTGGTCTTAAAAATGGTTCTTCTCCTCCAGCCTTTTTGGTCTTTGGCCAGAAAATTAATGTCCCTCTTTGTTATTTTGGGTTTGCAATCACAGGAAACAGAAAATCACTGCTTATAAGTCAAGGTTAGTAGAAACTCTGATCAATAAAAAAAAATAAAAAAAATAACATATATATATATATATATATTAGAAATGCTTCAGTTACATCTATTTTTAAAGGGAGTAGCTACAACAGAAAGGATTTTGTTAAAACACCTTTTCTTCATCCAATAAGTTCACTCAATTTAAAGGTTAGCATTTCCTTTCCAGTGTGTTATCAAGGTACTGCAATAAAATATTTCCTTGTTTTTTGTTATGCTAATTCATTTGGTTAAAATGTTCAAATCCTTTACACTTCAAAGATGCCAACAGATTTAACTTTGTGTTAATATACAGCTATACTCACAGCAGAAACTCTTCTTTTAATTTATTATTATGAATTGTCAACTAGCTGTATTAACTTCCAAAATCCCCAATGCAGAAAGCTTGCATTAAAATACCACCTTTTAACTTATATATTGTATTTATACAAGTTAAGTGAAAGAGAGCTGAAGTGCCCTGAGAGTCTAAGCAAAGTTGAGGGTGAACTATTTCAATCAGGCAAAAAATAGAGCTATTTCTTTTCCATTTTCCAAACACCCACTGTAGTTAAGCCTAAATTTTAAAGTTGCAAAAATTTGTGAAAAGCAGAATGAACATTTTTCTCTAAAATATAGTTTTATAGGAAACTGAATTTAAAGCAGTAAATGTGCCAACTTAGGTGCTGTTATTCCTGGACATATCCAGGTTGAGGAAAGGGAGGCATGGTAATGCTTGTCATTCATATTAATATCAAATTGAATGCTATTTTTCTCATGATGTCTGTCAAATTGTTACTTTCAGAGGTCATAAATGCTTGAAATGGTGTGGAAAGGGGTTATTTTCTCATCGTCTGCATTGCTCTCGCTAGTAATGCACCTGTAGCCAAGAGAGCAACTTTAATAAAACATTCATCTTATGGTAATGAAGAACTGCTTCCCTCCTGGTTCCAGGTCACTCTTGTATAATGAGGTTGATGAAGATAGCCGTGTGACTCTAATTGCAGAACTGATTTAAAGGGCTCAGATTTGACTCCAACAAATAGCACTAGGCTCTTCTCAGTAGAATACACTTTTATTCTGAGTTAATTGCACCAGCACAGCTGTCAAAACTCCTGAAAGCCTTCATAAAGCTTACAAACACAGACTGAGTGCAAATCATTCCAGCTTTAAATAACAGCAACAATTTGAAGAGCATGTGATTTGGGAACGCGGTTTTACCTCAAACTGGTCGACTTTTGCTCTTACTTTGTTTGATGTTCGTGCAAAGTGGCCACAGTAGCTTTGACATTTTAGCGACTGTCACAACCTTGAGTCTCCCGTAGAGAGATCCACCTTTCGTGACTTGACTGAGACTTTTTGTTGATCTGAGAGAGCTCCGAATAAAAGTAAAAATAGGTCCATCAGAGAGGTGGGAGTGAGGGAGGCATAAAGTCTTTTAGAAGACTTTCGCTCAATGGATGAATTACATGAGACATAATCTATGAAAGTCATGCATCTTTCATTTTGAAATGCTGGTTTTATTGAAAGAAACTGAGAATTTGTCTGATATTCATGCAAATCTGCACCGATTTACAGTTTTAAATTGGAGCGTTGCAGTTTTTCACAACAAATTATGCATCCAGGGTTAGTTGTATCTTTGTCGGTTTTATGGATAGCCACTTTCAGTTTCCACCTTGAACCAGTAATTTCCCTGGAATTTGTCTAGCATCCTTTTTTTTTCACCTTCAGAGTATCAGAAAACCTTTAATATATCCTTGTGACTTTTATGACAAATTAACTTGTTTGAGGTGAAGCAATTTTAAATCATTATATAAGAGTTATATTGCTAAGAAAAACAAACAAAGCATTTGACAATCCATAATCTTATATTTTGTGGATTTATTTATTCATTTTGCCTTTGCTAAGGGAAAGATAAATTCAAATTTTGTTTATAACCAAAGCTAAGACGGAATCCCATCTCCTTTTACTTGGTGATCTGCAACTCTGAACAGACAGAAACTGTCATAAGACAATTATCTTATGGTGTCTATCTAATTATTTTTTATTTACTAAATAGAACATTACAAAAAAAAATGCCAAGACTAATACAGTGCCTAAGCTTTTCAACAGTTTTGAAAAAATGTAAATCGCAACATTTTTATTAGGATTTGTGTGATCAGCCAAGACAAAATCACAAAGGATTTTGCAACAGGATTGTTTTAGTTTGGAAGAAGACTGCCTATCATCATCATCATCATTAAATTTCAATTTTTCCTTTTAATGGGTTAAAAAGCCATGAGAGAATTATAACCTTTTAGAACACATACATGTGCTCCCCCCTTTTCTTTTAGCTCTATTTGTTGAGGGCAATTACTATGATTGAAAGTGAGTTTTAATTTGCATTCTACAGTATGCGTCTTGCAGGCTCAGTCTATCTTATCTAGAGGAGAGGAAGAAGTTGTGAAATTAGTTATTTGCAGTAAAGTTTTTGCTTTTCCAACATACATCTTGCATGTAGGCTAACTGGTCTATAGTCACACAAAAGGTTTTCATATGTTTGAACTGTCCCCTAGGTACCATGCTTTGTGGCTTACTGTTCTCATTGGCACTCTTCCGAGAAAAAAAAAAAAAAAAAAAAAAGACTTGTGGAGCTTTTGTTGGACACCTTTTGTTTCGATAAAGTAAATATCAACATTTTACCTGATTGATCACTGATCCCCAGGCTTCATTATTGTATAAGACTCTCCTCTCATGGTATGTGTAGTCTTAGTACGTTTGCAGTTGTGTCATACTCTTTCCTTTTTCATAGGATAGTTAGAAGAGTGTTCTGTGAAATGTCTAAGGCTCAGGGTGAACACAAACCCTGCTCCAACTTTTTTTGCAAGGTTATTTGTTGCTTAATGTTCTTTAAGATAAGATGACGTTACAGAATAGTTGTCCTACATCTATACTTAAAAGGTGCTGATCAGTCACATTAAAATAAAAAAAAGAACTTTCTTGGTGAAATTTGACTGAAGGGTATGAAAGCCTTAATTAATGATAGATTGCCGTTTTCTCACAAAGATTTTTCTGTTTCAGTCACATGGAAAAGCATCACCAAAAACAAATTTTCACATCGATCAATCAAAATCGTCTTATGATACCTTAGTGTTTTTTACTTATTGTTCCTGTATAATAAAACATTAGTAGCCCAACAGAATAAAAAGGAAGGTAGTAATACTAATTTTCAGAAAAGTGTGTTGCCACACTAAAAAAGGCCACTGTTTGATTATTATTATTATTAACATTAAAAGTGAGAAAAAAAGAGAATCAAATATCATATCAAGAACTAAATGGAAAACCACCATCAAATCTCCTTAAAAAACACATCAGTGACAGTTGTTAAAAGTTGCAATGACTTATAAAAGGATTTTGTTTTTAGAAGAGGAAGGCAGAAAGATGCTGATAAAAACAAAATTTCACTTATTAATTCCCTTGAAATTGCAGCAACCTTCACGCCTGAAACATGGTTGACACAAGCAAAGTTTCAAAAGCACACAATGCAAGGGCTGTTTCTTGCATTTCACAGAGGCAAAGCCTGCAGTCAAATTGTTGAGAGATGATGCTAATGCAAGATGCAGAAATCTGTAGAAAATCCTTACAAATGACCAAATAAAGAGCTCAGAAAGAGCTGCTACAGTATGAACCGAAATGTCTCATACGATTCCAACTAGTCATTTTGCTAATTGATTATCAAATTTTCCAACCATCCCTTCGCATCAGAGTAAAGCATGTCCATGGAGACCAGGATCTGTCAGGCCATTAGCTGATAGTTACAACTTAAAAAAAAACAAAAGATTGTCTTAAAATAAGAATGACCCTACTATGCAGAAATTGTTATTTTTCCATTTTTTAATGTTCAGTTTCAGTAAAAACTCCTCTAATATATCTGCCCAAAGTTGTTTCCTTTCATGTCTGGAGTTTCCTTGTTAATATTAGAGGTTTATGTGCCTCCTCCAACAGCTTGAGCCTAACATAAGCAGAGCAAATCTTATCTTTATTTTTATCAACTTTTCAGCAGAATTATGCAGATGAGCAGGGTCTTCTCCTAAGTGTGATACATTCCTGGATATGTCTTTGGTCATATTGTTTTCAATAGGTTTTACCTTGTGAAGCATTCTCTGTAAAAAATGCATACATAAGCACAGCCAAAAAGAATATCATGCACACAGAATCTGAAATTAGTTTTTAGGGATCTCTCTGAGCTAATTTGCCACAGCTATTACAAATGCTGTTAATTCACTGAATTGTATTATAAACCTCATAAACTACTAGTTGTGATTTGTCATGTGCCTTTCCTTTTGGCCATCCACATTAAATATGATTTCAGAGCTTCTTTTCAACTCTGTAACTAAATCATATTGTATTTGAGCTGCAGCAATAATATTTACAATTCTAATTGATGTACATAGAATATTCCTTTATGCACAATTTGGAGGTGTATGCATTATTGGGAAGCTTAATGTTGTTGCTTTTGCTGTATGTCTGTTAAAATAGCAATTTATTGCTTAGTTTTAGTCATTGCAGACTTTAAAGCCTGCATAGTTTTTTATTTGACATTTATATCTCTATTGCAGAACTATTAATTTCTGTTTATATGATTACAAGACCATGTGTTCTCTCCTCCTGAGAACTACAACATTAGCAAAAACTTCAGGATGCTAACTTGCATTAGCACATGCTTGCTTTGTGTTAACGATGTATCAGGCTGCAGTTCACTTACCCAAGGGAAACAGGGTAACATGCACTCGTTAGCAACATGTGGGGGTTATGGTATGAAGGTTTTAAGGATGAAGGAGTTGGGAAGACAAGCACACACCTTCAGTGTGGGACACAGGCAAAGAGATCTCCATGCAAGCAGCAGACTGGGCCTTTCGGAAGGGTGGTCGGCCAGGGCCTCTGCGGGTTAGCCGTGGCCCCTCGGGACCCATCGGAATGCGAGGCTTCCCCGCCGAGCAGGGCTGAGAGGTGGGACTAGTGCAATGTCCATTGACATGATCTGTAACAACGGCAAAGCATTAGCAAACAACAGAACGGAGGGAAATGATAATTTTTTTCTAACATATTGTAATCCACAGCTGCAACATCCATCTTTATAGGTCTGAAAATAGATATTAAAGTCAAAACAACATTATGGGGCCTTTTACATCCTCAAAATGAAGTAGCTTTGAAGCAAAGTTTGTTTTCAAAATACAAAGGCAAGTAAGCTTCAGAACCTATGAAGATGAATATATTGCAGTGTAAGAGGTATAGAACCTGATTGTCAAGTAGGAAAATGACAGTGAAGGACAGGGGGTGAGTGCGTAGCAAAGGGCTGAAGAGTGGTTTGAAGGTAAGTATGTGCAAGGAGAAGAAATAGATGCTGTCAAAAGGAAAAGAAAAAATGCAGAGTGAAATTTGAAAGTGCAGCTTCCACCACCTCTGTGCCAGGAAAGAGATAAAAAGAACACAACAAACAAAACAGGCAAATTTAATCTCCACTTTGTTTTTATCCTTGTCAGACTGTCAAATTCTGTTTTTAGAAGAAGCTATTAATTTTTTTAATCTAATCTCAGTCCTTGCAACATTGCCATCTAAGCTCATAATAAACCTTTATTATGTTCTGTATTATTCCTGTGCAAATTCATTTGGAGCGTTTACAGAGTCACAGATGGTGCTCACATGAAAACACTTGTTGCATTCTGCAATCATGGCTTTACATGTTTTTTTTCCATAGGGACTGCATTTGCGGCTGGCTGTTTTTTATTTAATGCTGCGGGCCTGCGGGACAAAATGAGTGAGAATAAAATAACTTCTTTTGAACCAAACCCTTTCAATGAGACAACAAAACATAAATAGGAAAGCTTGGACACGGCTCTTTTGTATCAACAGACAACGATTCTGTCAGGATATTCATAATTAAAAGCCCCACGATACCTATCCTTTGATGCTCCCATTCTTCCTTGTCCTTCGAGACAAATAAATAAAGCAATGCCCTTTTTAAATGACATCCGTGTGGTAATAAAACCAAGGTTAAAAGCATTTGGAGTTGATAGGAATGTCTGATGGAATTGCTTTCCTTTATCATTTTCTCCTTCCCTCTCTAATATTCTTGTTTGAACATTTATGAAGCATGCAGACAAACAGCATTATGCTAATTGCTAAAAGCAGTACACAGTGTTCCATGTTTCCTGTTCTATGGCTGCCTTTTCAGATCTGCTCTTCTATTCAGGTGCTTTTGGCAGAAAAATCCAATTCCAAAGTGAAGATGAAAAACACTGGGGTGCCACCCAGTCCACGTGCAACACTCACATGGGTTCACAGCAGGACGAACCAAGATAGCACAGGGGTGTTTTTTTCTCCCCCCAGTGTGTAAAACGGGGCTAATGGGAAGCCACATGATGGCACTGATGTGTATCTGCTGGTGTGTTTTTCTTATTCTGAATTTCAAACAGGGACACAGTAACAGTGGTTTATTCCCAGATGTTTTGATGAAAGCTCTTAGTTAACAAGGACTTCTCTCCGGTATCATCTACCTTATCCAGAAAACCAGAAAAAAAAGAAATCTATCAAAAATACACCAACAATTATATTCATCTGCATAAAAATTGGGAACTGTTCCATCCAACAGACTAAATAACAAATTTTTCTTTCGTTAACACACTATAAAATTGCTCATATTTTGACATTTTAGATGCTCAAAGGAGCAAAATAATGAAATAGTCCTGCGTGGGCATTTGTACCTCTTAAAATTTTTATATTTTGACAAGTCACAACCATAATCTTCAAAGCCTTTTGTCCAGATTTTATCTAACTGCTTTATACAAAGTAAAGTTTATCAGTAAATAAACATCTTAAAATTATTTCTACTCCTTTACTCTGATCCAATCTGATATAGAGCATCTGTTAACAGAAATCTGTTAGCAGAGGTTCCCAAATTAATTCCTGTCAGGGTTTTAATAGGTAATTCCAAAACATTACTATATTTTGATCTAAACCTTTGAAGAAAAACATCTTCACACCATGATGGTGTAATGTTTTATTGCATTTACACTTGCTTTGAACTTTATACCAACTTTATCTCTCACCTAACTATCCACTTTGTATCTTTTTTTATAATACTGTTAACTGTAAAAAACATTCATATTAGGAATAAATAAATGAACCTATTATTTTCCCTCCTCTTTATTTTTTTGTGTATTTCTGACATCAAATCCCCAAAATATATATTGATTTTCTTTGGGTGTATAATAACCGATAAGAGGAAACACCAAAAAGACACCTTTTATCAAAAAAAGAAAACTAGAGTGAATGGTTTAAAAATGTTCTTTTCTATCATTTATTAAAATGTTCATTCTTAATGCTGCTAAAAAAAAGGAAAAAGTTTTATTGTAACTGCATTAAAAAAAAAGGTTTGAAAAACAACAGTTACAGACAGGCGAGTTATATGTTGAGAAAGTGAACATTGTCAGTGTGGAGAGTGCATGTAAAACTGCAGAAGGACAGCAAAGGGAAACCTGAGATCATGATGTTTAGCAGTCAGAAATGCAAGCAGGGGTGGACGCGAAGAATCTGTTATGTAGGTGATCCAGTAAAAATGAAGGGAGAACTGTTTTAGCGAGAAATGATTCAGTTACAATGAGACAGGGCAGCGAGTGATCCAATACTGAAAAGCAACGGTTGTTGATGAAGGCAGGATTGAGCAAAAACCAGAAGATGGTCCAATCATGGGAAAGCGATAGAAAGCCTCAACTTTAAATATACAGTAGTTATGAACTACAAAATCACCTTTATAAACACTTGCAAAATGTAGAAGAAACAAACACAGTAGATACAAATAAAACAGAACAAAACAAAACAAAGAAAGCTGTCAAAGGGCCAAAGTGGACAAACACTTTAGGCTGACAGTCTTATGGGCTGGTTAAAAAAAGAACATAGAAAGTCATAAGGAAACAGAAAATTTAATGAGAGGAATAAAAAAAAAATTCTTAAGTGACAGAAGGTCTAGTTATTTTACAAAACAGAAAGTAAACAACTTAAAGGAAATCAAATGAAAACTGCTGGCTTTCGCCTACCGTACCAAGATCAGTCTTAAGATCTGTGGGCAGACTTAACTTTCTGCCGGGTCCCTTTACTGAAACAAAAGAATAGGAAACAAAGAACCAGTTAATCCCTTCAAACAAAAATAAATAGATAAAGGAAATGAAAAAAGGAAGGAAAAAAAAGAGCAGACATAATCCATGTCAAATAATAAGAAAAAAGGTAAAAAAAAAAAACTACAAAACTTAATTAAACAAATGAACAAGGAACCAGAGCATGCAGTTTGGTGCAATAACATAAGGCAGGTAAAATGCATGCTCTACGGTTTTTCCCAGGCCAGTTTTCATAGGCAATTGTACAACAGTGCTTAGAACCAATACTGATGTGGAGATGAGATGCTTACTGTTGGGTGTAATAATTATTAGCCTAGATCAGGTATCATTTGGCTTCTTGGTTACCAGCTCAGATAAAATAACCAACTTTCTCCCATTCATTCATTTTCTTTTAGCCTATTCATTTGTCTAGTTTATCTAATATTCAATATCTACAATAGTTATATTCAGTTTAAAAGTATTTTTGGCCTGGGATGTCTGACATGGAGGCACAGATATACAGGATGATTCCTCATGGTACACTAAAGGCAACCAAAACTGCTCAGTGAAACATTTTGCAAGCATTTTTCAGAAAGTAGAGAAAGTTTGGAGTTGAGGTGCGCATCAAAAAAAATAAAGAATCAAGGAAAAATAATTTACAGGAAAAGTGGAGTATTCTTTATTTGTTTTGAATTCTAATTACATGTGAAAAAAACAGAATGGGTTTTAAATGACACCTTGAAATTTAAATGACCAGTACGGAAATGTCATGACTGTGAACTTCATTTTTTTTTTTATGTCCGTTTAATTGTTTGTTTTTAGTGGTAAAAGTAATCAGAGTCAGCAGTGATTTATTTGTGAAAAAAAGTGAACTCAGGTTCTGATCCTTTTGCTGTGTACTGGAGCCTAGAAAAGACACATGCACAAAAGACTAGTAATGAGACTTTGACAACTTGCTCATCAAGGGGACGTTCTGTCTTCTTAAGTCTTCTCCAAAGATGCTTTAGTTCAAAGATTTAAAGAGTCCATTTCCAGCTCACATTATTGTATATTTTTTATTGAGAGCAGGCCTTCAGATTAGTGTCACTAATGAGCTAATGGACAAGCGATTTCATAAAATATGATTAGAGAAGAACTGATGCAGCAACTTCATAAAATGTTGACTGTTAGATATACGATTAAAGAAAATTATGTTCATTATAAACCTATAAGACGAGGATGGTTCCTCTGCATAATTGCTCCGCAGCTGCACAAACATTTCATAAACTGGTTTTATTGCAACAAACAGGTCAAGCTGACCTGGGCGACGGAAGAGGTAAATAGTACTAAAGTAGATACTGCTTGCATTTTACCTAATGGCTATTACTTTTTCTATAATTATCTTATCCATGAGGAGCATGTCGTGCAAGCCAATTATTCTGTGCAGTCAGCTGGGTTTCCTTAGATGAAACATTTTTACCATCTGTCCGTATTATCTGAAAAAATTGTTTTTGTAAAGTGCCTTGAGAAGACATTGTCAATTGAAAATATAAAAAATGAAATGTATTGAATTGAATGTCTTTACATCAAATCTGTTGTACCTACAGTGAGTTCCAAAAGTATACAACCAATTTGTCTGATGTATTGTCTTTCATGAACAATAGCTTTGAGTTATAATGTATTTTTGGGCATTGTAAGGTGTTACAGACAATAATGGCAGCATGATGCTGAATTTTTGTCTACTTCAAATTTCTTTGGCTTTTTAAAATGAAACCAAATTTTATTGTTTTTGCATTGCACTTACAATTCCCCATTTGCTATACCCTGCCTTTCTTATTGTAACTAGACTTCAATGTGAACATGGTTATTTTTTGGGAATGGGGACTGTTATTAGGCCCTGGGGAAAGATAGATATGGTGATTGCAGTGTCATACTGAGGGAGTTCTATTTATGTATGTGTGTGGGCTGTAACACTCTTTTTAGTCTCACTGATGTTTTTGAGTGGAATTCTTGACTTGGTCCTTCATCTTAGAGGTTGGTCACAATTTTCAACATTTCAACAAGTGTGCAAAAGATACAGTGAGGAAAATACATATTTATATGCCCTGCTATTTTGCAAGTTCTCCCATTTAGAAATCATAGAGGGGCCTGAAATTGTCATTGTAGGTGCAAGTCCACTGTGAGAGACATAGTCAAAGCAAAAAAAAAAGAAATCACAAAGTATGATTTTTTTTAACTATTTATTTGTATGATACAGCTACAAAAAAGCATTTGAATACTTGTATATCAGCTAGAAATCTGACCCTCCAAGACCAGTCAGTCTGCCTTCAAAATGTCCACCTCCACTCTATTTGTTATTCTTAATTAGTTGCACCTGTTTGAGATCGTTTGCTGCATAAAGACACCTACAATCAGTAAGAATCCAACTACTAACATGGTCAGTCATGGGAGAAAGTCATGTTGTCAGATAATACCAAAATAAAACTTTTTTGGTCATAATTTCACTAACTGTGTTTGGGGGAAGAGGAATGATGAGTACCATTCTAAGAACACTATCCCTACTGTGACGCATGGGGGTGGTAGCATCATGCTCTGGGGGTGTTTTTCTGCATACTGGACATAGTAAACTCCATGCATTAAGGAGAGCATGCGTGGGCCTATGTATTGCAAGATTTTGGGGAACAACCTCCTTCCCTCAGTTAGAGGATCGAAGATGGGTTGAGACTGGGTCTTCCAAAATGACAATAAACCGAACCAAACAGCCCGGATAACCAAGGAGTGGCTCTGTAAGAAGCATATTAAGGTTCTGGCGTGGCCTAGCCAATTACCAGACCAAACCCAATACAGAATCTTTGGAAAGAGCTCAAACTCTGTGTTTCTCAGTGACAGCCCAGAAACCTGACTGATCTAGAGAAGATCTGTGTGGAGGAGTCGGCCAAAATCACTCCTGCAGTGTGTGCAAACCTGGTAAAAAACTACAGGAAACGTTTGAGCTTTGTAATTGCAAACAAAGGCTACTGTACCAAATATTAATATTGATTTTCTGAGGTGTTCAAATACTTATTTGCAGCTGTACCATACAAATAAAAAGAAAAAAAAATCATACATTGTGATTTCTGGAATCTGTTTTTAGATTATGTCTCTCACAGTGGACATGCACCTACGATGACAATTTCAGACCCCTCCATGAAATTTCTTACTGGTAGAAGTTTCAAAATAGCAGGGCGTTCAAATATTTATTTCCCTCACTGTACATATATGTATTTTACTTTTTTGGACTGAACTCCCCACACATCCAATCATAAAAAATTTGATTTTCAGCAAACCTATTTTATCATAACTGGGAACTACAATTGCAATTGTTCTTGCTGAACAATACTTGATGTTGAATGCAAATCAATAAATAAATGAATAAAAAAAAACTGCAAGAGAGAGAGAGAGAAGCCTCCATGAAGTTGCTGGATAAATAGAGAAATAATTTTAGCTATAAAATTAAAGATACAAGCTAATTGACATCTGTTGTGCTAATGCTACTTAATGCTAGCACAGAGCAATGCTTGTTGATTACACTTTGAGTTTGGCTAATATTTCAAGTTGACAATGCCTAAGAAAATAAAAAAATGCACTTTGCCATGAGCTGAAAATACATCATTTAAAAGCATACACAGACCCTTAATTTGAAAATGATGAAAATTGTGAATGACCTCTAAATTATTTATCCAACCATTAGGCTACTATATAGTTGTATTGCAGTGAAAACTAATTTAACAATTTCCACATCAGAACTTTAAAAAAAGCAAACAGGCTGAATACTTCTTTGGGGGACTGTACTTTGCCAGTAAATGTGATTAAAAACTATATTGCATCTTTAACGTGTTACTGATCTTACTTTATTTTAAATAAAACTGAAGTTTTTGTGAGACTAACCTCAAATATAATGCTAGACCTCCCCTTTCTCCTAAATATATGTAAAGCATTAAATAGAAAATGGTTTGCCAATTGTACCCCACTAACAAATAACATTATTCCTGACCATGCAAATTCTTCCCTTTTCTTTGCAAGGATACAACATTTGCCCAAGGCATAAATAAACATTTAAATGTTCTTTGAAATGCTCTGGCACTACTCAAGAGTTTTTTTTTTCTCTTTTGCACTAGGCCACCGTCAACATTTTATCTTTCCACACAGATGACCCATTATTTTACAGCAGCACAAAGTGACTCTTAAAAGTCTACCCTGCTGTTAAAATGCCAGTTTTTTGTAACGATGAAATTATTAGAGCATGATAGATCATTATCAACATTTCGTTACTTCCATTGTCACATACTCTTAAAAGTGCATGACAAACCAAATAAGAAAAAGAAAAAAATGGAACAACAGTGTGCTAGTATAAGAGTGTATGCCTTCAGACAAGTTCACTGTTTAATACACCTTTTGATCCAGTTACAGCATATACTCTTCTTAGGTATCAGCATTGTTTAATTGTTAACTTTATAAACCTTAAAAATGTATATTTTTGTTTTTTGCATCTTTTTTGTTTTCTCTCTAACCTTTTTTCAGTTTAGTTTTTCGGCATATGTCAAATTTCAGATAAAAATTTTTTTACATAGGTCAACATGATGTTAGATGACAACATCTGGCGTTTTAACAGTAGTGTAGATATTCCACCTTCCTGACTCGATTCACCCATTGCAAACAGTAATATTCTGTAAGATAATATGGCATAAAATTCCATCACATTTCTTGATAAAACCCATAATAGTTGATTGGGTATAGAAATATAGAGCTCTGACATTACATATGATGTATCAGTCCTAAAACAGACTTTGCTAAAGCTGCTCAGCTCTGGAATTAGCCACACAGCAAGCTTCATGCAGTTAGTTAGAGACAAGACAAGGTCATGATTAATGTTAGCCAAGAGAACAACAAGATAAGTATGCAAGTTTATTGACACAAAGACCCAAGCACTAGGGCTCGGGAAAGAAGCTTGTCGCCTTTTAGTGGCAGCGATGAGTGATTCTAGAGGGGAAACAATGATTAATGCTCCACAGAATGAGTCACTCAAAGCACAGAGTGAGAAGCTGGATTCAACCAGAATACAACCCCTCCCTCTTATTCTTAATGCCACCTGCATCACAGCATCGGAGACTGATAAGGGGTCAGAGGTCAAAGCCCAGATCTGGCAGATAAGAACATCAAAATTCATTGCATGTGGAGCCACAAGACAAGGAGGCCACTTAGCAACCATCATCACAAAGCATGTAGCACATTTTCTTTCTGGCAGCACAGTAAGCAAGCTGGTTCGTAAGCTTTTTCTGTTTTGACCACTAATGGCTCTGGGATGTCTAATTGGATTTTTCTTGCTTAATCATCTAGATTTCTATTGAGCTTAGAAATATTTCTCAATAATCTTAAAGGCACACCGGGTAACTTTTGGTCACTAGGGGTGCTAGAACCTGTAACTTTCACATCTAGCGTCCCTAGTGGCAACACTTGCCGCAGCACTGTAGGAAAAGTCAACAAACAATCAGCTGGGCATCCTCCTGTGTCCTTTCATGGGCTGCGCTATAGGCTTCTAGGTTTTAGCTCAGAGGGTCAGAGAAACACTGCTGCTTTCGAGAGAACACCGTAGGGCAGCCCGGACCACGCCATGCAGCGTTGAGGACCAGCAGCGCAGCTCCAGCGAAGACCCACTGGGTAGGACGGGGCATCTCAGTTAGCTTTTGTCATTAGCCTGCTGGCTTTCTCTGCCCATATTTTGCTTCCACTAAACATCAAAAATAATAAAGATATATGACTTTATACTAGGAGAAAAGTGTTAAATTAAAGGTTTAATAAAAATGTTGAAAAAAAAAATTATTTTACATTTAGCTTCTTCTTACAGTCTGCGACAACAAACTCGAACTCAATCGACTCTTGTTTTTCGTCTTGCACAATCTCTTCCATGTTTTCTCTTTTAGGCCTCCTCAGGAGGTTTCAACTTTTTCCTTGCCTCAGCCATGACCAGTAGTTGAGCAGGCAGAAAAATATTGGATCAAAAGCATCAGTACCACGTCTATATAAGAGCCTGTGGCCGTAAAGCGATACGTTCTTCCAAGTCACATCACCTGGTCAACAATGGTACATCATCTCAGCTTACATAGGTGTTATTTAGAGTGGGGAGCCCCCCTCATCGCATTGATAAGGTCAAGTGTTTTATGTTGGCCTGATTAATCATTTAAAATAACTCGTATGCATCAACTCTTTAGGTCACAAAGTCTGCGGTGTGCCTTTAAAGCCTACTTGCATAATATACAGTTTTTTTGGCCATATTCCAAAGTCCAGTAGGTTTGTAATGCTGTATAATGCTTCACAAATGGATTTCAAAATATTTTCCAGTTTTGTCACCTTAAAATCACAAACTAATTTATTGGGACTTTAGTTGATGTGCTTCAACTACAGCTGCAGTTCTTTTGGGATATATCTCTACCAGCTTTGTACATGTAAAGGCTAATCTCATTGCCCATTTCCTATGAAAAACAGATCGAATTTACCTAGATTGAAGTTTTGATCTAAGCTATTCCCTTCCATATATGCAGCTTCATCTATAGGCTCCTCGTTCTACTGGAATGCAAAGTTTTGGACCATGTGTAAGTGTTTTGGAGCCTCTTAAAGGAGTTATTGCAGAATTGCGTAAATGCCTGATAGTTCAATTTTCTGGCAAAAACTCACTTTTTCAAAATATATGCTGTCTCATCTTTTTACTTATGGCAAACTTGGAATTCCTATGGATCTATTTCAACTGCACCCATCTTCTTGTCACTCTTCGACAAAGTCCAGATTGTTGTTGTTCCTAACCAATAATTTGTACAATCTGAACTGTGGATCTCTAAAGCTCTTTTGATGATAGGCTGTACAGTATGGTGTTCTACAAGATGTTAAAAGCTTGAGAGGTTGTGGTATAAAAAAACCCCACTTATTAGGTAACATTGGAAACCATGTGCTTGTATTGCATTTGGGCTCTGGGAGAAAAGGGGGTTATAAGAAGTGACATTTTTCAGACTTTTTTCTTAAACATCCTTGATTTTATTTTGCTTCACATTTATGTACTAATTATGTACATAACTGTGTACTGTAGTAATTGCACTATATGTAAAAGAATTTGAAGTTTGTGGTTATAAAGTGACAAATAGTATAAAAGATGCTAAATTGAAATCGCTACATTTTAAAGAGATTTATTTCTTTTGTACCATAGTTGTTTTGAAACAAATTCACTTAAATATTTCTGCTATCTTGTTAATAGGGCTGCTCACAGCGTGAAGCATAGCAAGCATGCAAGGTGAACGCTGAAACAATCACTATCCTAAAACTAATGATCCTATCTCCCTCACATGTAACATGTAGGCCACAGAACACAGACCACAAGCAGGTGTCCACGAAGAGGCCGAGATCCACGAGTCATCCCTCATCTTACCATTGTCCAGTAAGTAAAAGACTGGACTGCAGTGGCTGGCTCTCAGACTGGCCACCGGTTCTGGCAGGATGCGTGGGTCATTGTGAAGGGAGGTTGGGTAATGAACTGAAACAGGAGAGCCAACAGAACAGACAGACTTTTCAGGGAAGCAGGGGAGAGAAAAACACACTGGGTGAACTGGGGAGAAGAGAAACTTGCAGGTAATAGACAGGAATCAAATCTGAAGGTATGAAAAAAAAGAGGTTAATGCCATGTTTAGAAAATATTCTCTTCCACCAACAGCCGACAGCTCAGACGCCTTCATCTATTCCACAAATAATAACGAAAATGACTCTAAAGTATTACCACAAGGACAACAAAAAACTGCAATAGACCAGACTTATTTATCAAAATAACTGCAGCTCTTTCTAATGCTTTTGGGCTTTATTTTATGCAAAAGACCTTCTATCATACAGACATAGATACATTTTCTTTACGAGCAAACCATCTAGTGCTATATCTTTAAGCTATAGCAATAAAAAATAATATCTGCCAAGTTTGTCAGCTTTTTTTAATGACACATGAATTCTAGACATAACCTTCTTAGAACATAAAAATATTTATATTGGTTCCTTGTGCCATATCAAACGCTAATGAAACATCAGATTCAGAATGACGTAATAAACTGACCAATGACTGGGAATAAGCATGCTGTTATATGAGCAAAGGGCTTGCTTTACTTTAACTGATATGGGCTTATTCAAATACTAACACCACTGCCTCTATCAAAAATGACCAAGGTAATTACAGAAGTATTGTTGAAAAATAAAGTTATTTTAATCTTTCTAAGCACAAACTACAACTATAAAAAGCAGGTTTGGGTGCATATGCACAGATGTTCCCTCTAATGAGTTCTGTCTGTAAGTGTAAATATAATTCTAAAAATTTCACATTGTGTTTCTATCTTCAGTAAATATTTTATTTTCCTTTTTTTAGATATCATTACACCTAAAGCACCTCTACTAAATTTAACCCACTGGGTGAGTTCTCAATTGGTTGTGTGCCATCTTGTCTATGTGTCAGCTAAGTACTGCTACAGCTTCTAGTGGCTTAAAACTCTTGGAAAAAGGTGACATATAACCCTAAATAAAAAAAAAAAAATGCACATAATTTGTTGTGTGGAGGGAGACAATTTCCAATCATCCGGCAGTCCAATTACACCTAAAGCACCTCTACTAAATTTAACCCACTGGGTGAGTTCTCAATTGGTTGTGTGCCATCTTGTCTATGTGTCAGCTAAGTACTGCTACAGCTTCTAGTGGCTTAAAACTCTTGGAAAAAGGTGACATATAACCCTAAAAAAAAAAAAAAATGCACATAATTTGTTGTGTGGAGGGAGACAATTTCCAATCATCCGGCAGTCCAATTACTGCATCTAATGTCAGTTAAGAGGGGTGAAGATTTGTTAAGAGGAAATCAGTTCATCTATGCTTACACTCACTGACACAGGGTGAATAAGGACAACTGCTGACTTGCTTAATAAGCTGTCTGTCTGCAGTGTGTATATAGCTTTAAGCAGACACCACCAACCTGGTGTGCCAGGGGCAGATAGACAGCATCTAATGGCCACAGTGAAGGGTTGCAGTGTGATTTCATCCAGTAAAAACAAGCCATACTGCCTCTGTTTGCCAAGCAAAGCACAGCTGTGCTGTCTATTATTACTGCAGGAATATCAGTGCTTAGAGTGTTTTTAATCACTTCCAAATTAACATGGAACATGAACTAAGATGGCAGGAAAAAAGAAAAAACAATGAGACCATTTTCCTTTCTATCTTCTTAAGCTGTAACGCGGATCTGTATCATCTCTACCTGTCTGCATTTTCTCTCCCACTGGCAAAATGTGAATCAAATTTGTTCACACAGAATCTTGTTGCTTATATACCTGTTCTTTTCATCCATCTTTACACAAATCTTATGCTCTTTTATGTCTTTAACACCTAATAATAAGCCTACTGCAAAATTCCCATGACCTAGATGACATGACAGATCTGAAAGGCGTCTTAGCACAAAGGAAAAGAACATCTTGTCTTATTCATGTTATTTTGTCCTTGCAGTCTTAGCAAAGGCAGGCTGGTGAGTAAACACATGAAAATAGGTGATATATAAAAGATATATTCTAAGAAAAAAAATTTGGAATTAATTATTATTTTTCTTTTGGAAAAATGCAGAGCTGTTTTAGGGGACTCCTTTTAACTGAAGTAAAAACAAAGAATTATGGTCAAAGACACACTACAACATTTTTATATTGTACCATTAAAACAAATCAATCACATGTTATTTCATATTTGAGAATCTAAACAGTATTTTCACATCAAAGACTCTTTTAAAATTACTTGCAGTACAAACAGACACTTCTATCAGCATTTAATCATGGCGTTTTGAATAGGGATAGGCTGGTAACTGGATTCAGTGAATCATTGTCTTCCAAATCTTAAGTCTTTAAAACCACGAGCTGTTACATTATGCTTTTTCATTAATTTTCCAATACAACATTTCCAATTCAGATGGCTTTTTTTTGGGAATTCTTTATCAGACAGAAACACTGACAGCCTTGGTATGAAGCTAAAGAAGAAACTCCTATTACTCTGACTAACGTACCAATGTTTTAAAGATTATAGCTGACAAGCTATGAGCATCATGTGTGTAAAGCTTCCAATTACAGGTCGGGTACTGGAGCAGCCAACCTTACTAAATTAGCCAGCAATCATCAGGTTGCTTTATTTGCAGTTTTTGTCTATAAAAAGCATAATAATAAAGGTATTACAAATAAACTTAAAATTAAAATGACAGGGTATGAATGTTATATATAATATACTATATCATAAATTGGTATGACCAATATATTTTTTATTTTAGTTTAGAATGAATACATTATTTTCTTATTTATTAAATAATAATAATAATAATATTCCTTCATTAGTTTCCTTTTAAACTGGTGTTTCAAATTGTATAACCAGAGCTCTTTCTGTTAAAGGTTATGATACAATTATAATCTCTTTCTGGTCCTAACTTTAATAGAATATGTTGATATATTTCTTCAATTATAAGTTGTAGTGGGTAGAGTTTCTGTTGTTAATAGAATGTCCTTGGACTTGCAGCTTATTCTCATGGATTATTGTGCTAAATGATGACTAAGAAGTGTCCTATAAAAGAAAAACTGGTGAGTTTGAGTGACTTTAACAATCTTGTTGCCTGCCAGAAGTACTTCTTACAGCACTATGAAACAGAGCGTCTTTTTAATATGAAATATAATATCTTGCTTTTTTAAACGTGCGTGGTTCAGTTACCATGGAAACTCTGAGTTTTACTTGAAGCTGGAGTTAATTTCCGAAATTCAAGGTAGCTAGCTTTTGCAATCAACAGTTTAACACCCATAGTTGGAAGGTAAATACTTTCTTTGCGAGCAAATTCTTGCAAGACAATTTCTATGGTTGAATTTTTGAAGGTGAATTTCAGCAGGTTGATTTCTGCAGCTGAATTTTTTAAGGAAAAATCCTTGCTGGCAAAATTAAAGTAAAAACTAAATAACTGTACAAATCCAGTGCAATAAATTCAATCTAAAAACAAAAATGTATAATTTGAACAAGAATTTATTTCTTGCACAACTGAGAACCGACTATAATCCAATCTATGCCTTAAAGAAAATGGTTATTTATCGTGCCATCAGTTATTGTAATAATTGCCCACAGAATGTACCTGAATAGTAAAGTATCTTTTCATTATTACTTAAGAATGCGCCATATAAATTTGTGGGTAGTTCATTAACATATTTACTGTATAAAAGTGAGAATTAATGCATTAGTAATAAATGTATTAAATAATTCTGTATGATTTCTGATGACATCTATAATATATCTACAATGTTTACCCGTTAAATGGTTTTTGTTTTGTCTTGTGGACCCCCGAAAGACTAGCTCATCCCAATTATGGTGTAAGCTACTAAGTTTTTTTTTTTTTTGTGCGGCACTAGTGGCACGTTTCTTCGACAGTAGGCTGACAGGAAAGGGGGTATGAGAGAGGGGGAGAGACATGCAGCAAAGGACCAGGATTCGAACCCGGCTCGGGCACGTCCAGGACTAAGGCCTCCATATATGGGTCATGCGCACCAATCACTGAACCACCTAAGGTGATGCTTTTTAACAATATAATTGGAACTTTGCAGAGAAAGCTTTGGAAGACTGAGAAAACCAATATTTTTTCAAATCACAGAATAATTCTTTCCTAATCAATCTTACTGTGACTGACAATCAAAAAATGTAGACACATTTCATGTAATTCACACATACGACAATTTCAGTTTGACACTTTTACCCATGAGATCAAACTGCAAACTTGACAGTGACTTTCTTCTTAATCACTGCCAATGTGCTTCTATTGTTTCTTTCTCAATTACCCTTTCATATGCACTGCTTCATTTTCATATTAACATTCAATGCATACACACACACTTGAATTCCGATGAGCACATCAGGGTTATGTAGGGTTCAGTGTCTTGCCAGAGGACACTTTAAAGCATGAAGGACAATTAAACAGGCCGTAATGAGCGGACATCCTTCCAGTTGGTGGTTGACTGATTTAACACTCAAGCCACAGCTGCCAGAGCTGATGCCAACTCTTTCTTTCTGGATAAGCCCCCAGGGTCTTTTTTGCAAATGGCCACAACAGTGGATAAGATAGACCTTTATACCACATTGGTCCCCAAAACAGAGCTCCTACCCCTCAACCTTAAGGAGAGCTTATAAAAATAGCTGGACAATTCTTATCAAGGAAGGATTTGTGCTCTCCCAGGACTGCTGAGAAAGATAAAGTTTACCCACAGCAAATTGTGGTGGGTGAGTGGCCTCTTTAAAAGTAATTTAAAGACTCAGATCTGTGAGGTTATCGAGGATAGATCTAACAAAACAACACGCCATAGAGCCAAGCGGGGTCATCATCTATTTGGAGAGGTGCAAAGATGAGTTGTTGACAGTTGGGCAGCAGGGCACCAGATGTGCTTGTGATGACCCCGTCAAAATACTACGATTTCCGAATAAATTCAGGCACAATTCCTTAAATATTAAATATATTCCCTATTTGTAAATGAAAAACAATTTTTTTACATCTCTCCAATCCCATTCAGAATCATATCAAAGAGGGGTCAACTCCATGTTATTCATATTTGGGAGAACAAACTGCTTTAAACTGCAGTCCTCTTTTATTTGAAACATTTTCTTTCAAGCATCCTTCTCTTTGCTTTCTCATTAAGAGGAAATTGCTGTACATCACTTCCCAGACAGCCAAAGTTTGAAATTACCCACCATCTGTTGAAACATTTCAGAAATTAACTGCAATTTCCTGAAGTAAGAGATGATATTCTAAAATTGTTTCTCAGCTAACAAAAAAACCCCAATTTGACTGGAATAAATTAGCCATTAATGCAAATATTATAATAGATTTCAAACTGTGGAACCAAAAGTGGCACTTTTTCTGAAACAGGTTCTCAAAAAGAGATCTTATTAGGGTCCATTACTTTGCCAGGTAAGCACATCACAGTACTTTGTGTTATATTTTTGTATACCGGTACTCGTTTTCATTCAGCCTATTTTACATATTTTCCTGCTTAAGCATACTTCAAACTGGACATCTTATTCATATTCTTTATCCTTGCTTTGTCTGTGTTTGTCAGTAATTAATTTGAACTAAGATAACAAAAAATACCTTCCTAGTAAGAAATAACATATTATTTAGGTAAAATTCAATCATAGGGGCCATTATGTTATGACAATTAATAAAAAAACCTGTAACACATTTAGTCAGCCTTTTAGTCTCTTTCGCACAGTCACACACTGATAGAATCCCTCTCACAGCTGACACCAGAATCTGCTGTAGTAGTCTTACTATACAGTAACTAAAAGAAAATGCTCCATAATGTATTCCATTTTTGTCTTCAGTACGCAAAGCTCATAAACTGCAATCAAACCAATTTTATTTTGGCATCCATGCCACAAAGAATATTCAATAGTTTGTGTAATTGCTTTGACCAAGCTTTTCCATCAGTTATTATATTCCTCATGCAAGAGACGATAATAAATAGAACCTAGAAGCATACAGAGAACCACTGGGTTATATCCGTCTTTACAGAATTATCCTTTTGAGAAGGCAAGCCTCTTTTAATATACATCCTGTATAATTTAATACAAGCAGCGCACTTTCAGATGCTAAAAAACATTTAATGAAAGAAGATAATAAATATGACTGAAACAGAACAAAGACAGTACTATAAAGCATGAGATTTTATGAGGTACGTTACCCGCAACATTTCATAACGTTAATCATAACCACAGCTGCCAGATGTTTTATCAATTTTAGATGAAAAATCAAAGATTCACACAGAAAGAGGAAGAGGAGATGGTTGGGGTAGTTTTTCTTTTTCCTTCTTACCTTTTGGAAAACATAGTTCTGTAGAGTTAAAAGAATGAAAGAAAACAACAGTCGCAGCTGGGGCAAAACGCATCAGATATTCTACTCTGATTTCATCACCTTTGGCAGTTTTTAATCAAAGACTTCCAGCTAATGCCACAGAACGTGAGCAGCCATTTTAAACAGCTGCCATGCTCATCAAGTGAAGATACTCATGCGGTGGGTGAGGGGACCTAGGGCTGTAATACAAGTTAAAAGTCAACAGCAACCCAGCATAGTTTCAAGCGAGCAAAATAGATGCAAATATCAAGCCAGAATGTTTCAGAGTCAAGTGGGTGCATGTGTGTAGGTATGTATGAGTAGGTTACCTGAAGTGGGTGACTTGCTTCTCTCCATGTCTATGGACTGCTGGTTGTCAGTGAGTTCAGTAAGGCCTAATGCAGCCATTGACAGCCATAAGAAGGAAGAGGAGACACATCCTTAATCACTATTTATCCTTTTATTCATAAAGATGATTCACAAAATGTTTATCAACAACACAACACTTTAGAGAGAGTTATGCATTCTTATTTACTGGTACCTCTTTAATAAAATGTCTGTGAAATGACTATAAGTATATTAAATATGTGTTGGTGTAACTATATTTAACAGTGAAAGGTTATAGAAAAATCCAATTTGTAATTTGAGAACAGTAAAAATACTAACTTTTTTCTACTGTACAGAGTTACTTGTGGCAAAGTTAAAATATATTTAACCTAAGAACAGTTGTTCCTTTCTACTATTGCCGGACGCTTGCTCAGTAAGATGGTTGTTGTCAAGTCAGTAATGCAATATCCTTTATGTTCTTAGCAATGTCATATTTCCCTTGCTTTCAAAATACCTGTTAGACTGCCTTGTAATACAATTACAATCAAACTAACTGTTCTGATCTGATACAATGACTGAATTTGTGAGATTTTGATATGCTGTGTATATCTGTAACTGAAATTAATCGAATCTTTTTTTTCTTGGAATTCTAGTTGCTTTGAGTTCATGCCAAACTGTGGAAGCATACTGAATTTAACTAAATTAAGAATTTCTTAGTAGTAATTCATCAAGATTTATCTATTACATTATTTATTTTGCCATAACAAGTTAAGGAAATTTTCAAATCTCTTGTAGAGATCTGCCATTGTTGCATCAATACGTCTTCATAACAGATTGTCGTTTGTGTAATGCCAGTAAACACAAAGTATCCAAGTGTCAACAATTGGAAACATGTGGTGTTTGTTCAACTTTACTCTAAAATCTAATCTACAAATGTTCCAAGCAAGTTTGGCATGAAACATATTATAAATATATGGAAAAGCACGTCCATCCTACAGATACATGTATGTTATATGTGTCTCCCAAAGGCCCATTGACACCTTCTGATGCATCCTAATGTATAATTGATTCAACACAGAGGTGGTTAAAATTACTTAAATCAACCTTTGACATCACCATCCTGATGTCTTTATCCCACTATATATATATATATATATATATATATATATATATATATATATATATATATATATATATATATATATATATATATATATATATATATATATATATATATATATATATATATATATATATATATATATATATAGTTCTACTAAGATGTCCAGCTCAGAAAATATGTTGGTTTATTCTCTATCTACTCAGAAGTGAAGATTAAAATAAACCTAATGAAAAAACAAAGTGATTTCTGACCAGAGTTTCAATATATTGTCTGTATCCTTACTGTCCTTGAGAGACTCTGTTAAAAAAGCTGTCATCTTTCTCATTTTCTGCTTTTGATTTTGATCTCATCTTTTGATTTTGTTATCTCTTGTGCTTTTGGCTCTAATCTCCGACACAGACCACTATCCCTGCCCACACATATAGACTGAACATCAGCAAGAATCTGTGAGGTATGTGAATGCCTGCAGAGAACCTAACAAGTCCCTTTGGACCCTTATTTTAAAATCATATTTACATAAGGGCAAATTAGGCCCTTATAGAGGTGTTATCAATTACCTCAGAATGTGGAGTTTTTCCACTTATTGCATAAATGTCCTCAGATTAAAGTTTGGATTTTTCTACATTTTTCACTGCAACAGTATTTTTACACATATACCCTAGCAAAGCCGTTAGAACATGAAAGGACATGTACAAGTAATCTTTCAAAATCAAGGTCTTTACTCTCAACTTCATGTTAAGTGGGACTAATTTAGAGCAGCTGATTGCGAGTGTGACCTGCACTACAGTGTGGTGAAAGTACCAAACTATTTTTGGACCAAGTAAATCACATTGAGATGTAAATGTGATTATAGTCTAGCTTATAAAGCATGTAGTGCAAATCACACATTTTTAACTGACATTAACAGCCAAAACACAAAACAAACACAAGTCCAAACAAAAGAATTGCAAATCTGATTGCATGCAGCAGGCACGGGTCAAAATGCAATCATTTCTTCCACAAAAAAATATTAACAAAAATAATTACAAGTGAAAATATAATAAACAACCCCATCTCTTCATATAACTACACCCTGATCTTCTCACTATAAATGTAGTGTTTGAGATGCATGATATGGACTTGTAAACTTTGAATAATTATATTATTTCCCACAAGTTCTTACAACATGTCTAATTTCTAAATTTGTCTCAATAATCAGTTGAGAATTTTACAGTCTGACTGCAGTCTTACAGAAATAATACTTCAAGAATATCTATGTCTGTCTTTCTGTCTATCCATGTATTTATATAAGCCAAATAAATTAAGATTAAATATACCTTAAATGACATCTAAAGCTATAATGGCAATGTATAAATTCCTTCAACGAACAGTATTAATGACCAAACTGAAATAATGTTGTACAATGGCTTGCACCAATGTTCTAGCCATTAAATGTTTTTAAATTTTGCCATTTGACAGAAAAAAACACCAATATATATTTCATTAAGATTTTATCTGATAGGGCAACTGAAATTAGCACATCTTTGTAAAATTGAATGAAAAGTCCCTTTAAGGTCAAATTTATTTTCATTACACCAATAACAATGTTTAATTCACGAAAGTGAACAGATTATTATCTCTCAAAAGATAATAAAAACAAACCGAATGATCGGGGAAGACTGAACAGGACCGAGTGTTGTGAGATTATAAGCCAACACCTCCTTCCATCAGTTACAGCCTTGAAGAAGGAACATAGCCGGCTATTTTTCAGCATAACGATAATCCCAAACACACCACTCAGGCAGCAAAGGAGTGGCTCTGTTAAAAGTATTTTTAAGGTCATGGAGAGACCAAGTAGTCTTCAGCTGTAACAACCTAAGAAAATTATGGAGGGAGTTGAAAGTCCATGTTACCCAGCAACAGCTGCAAGACATTCCTGCTTTATAGGAAATCTGCAAGGCTGGGCTACAAGGTATTGAGTTAAACCTTGGTTATTCATTAAATACAGATTTTTTACCATATTTTTACAAGTAAATTATTTTAGAAATACAACTGATAAAATAACCTGATATTCTGGATATCTTTTATTTCTCATTTTATCTCTCATATTTCAAATGTACCTGTAATGAAAAATACAGACCTCTCCAATTCTAAGCAGGAGAACTTGTAAGAATCAGTGGCTGATTAAATTTTTTGCTCCACTGTAGAAGCAGGAGAGAGTTCATGGTAACTGTGAAGGAGCTGCAAAGAGCTGCAACTCAGATGGGAAAAAGGGTCAATACAGCAACTATAAGACAGGCTCTCATACACAGCTTTTGTCAAAGAGCTTGAAATGATAAGGCAGTTATTAAAAAACAAAAAACAAAAAGGAATGTCTTGTATATAAGATGGGAATTCAACATTTGTAGAAACCTTTAAACAGGTTTGGAGGGAAAGATAGGTCAATCTTTGCATATTCAAAAGTGGTAGAGATAAAATCCTAAAAGGGAGGCTCTCCAAACTAAGTCTCTTAGGGGTGAAATCATGCACCATATTTTTCAGATTTTTATATAAAACCATGCTTCATTTTCTTTTCACTTTACAATTATTTACAGCTTGGTGTTGCTCTATCAGATAAACGTATATGTCACAAAGGTTTGCAAGCCACAGCATGTGGGAAAAGTTTGTTTAAAATTTGCTACAATGCTCAATAATTTCTTGAGCTTGTTCTTTGCAGTGAGTCCAAATCTATTTCTATGTCTATTCTTTCCACTAAAATCTAACAAAACACTGACCCACCAAACCCCTCCACTCACACATTCACAAAGTACTTTCACGCCAGCCTTTACTGTAGGAAGGCCCGACTTACTCTGATAGGATGTACGGATCCTTTTCTTTGAATCTGAATAAAAGTTAGACAGGCCGCGCATGCAATGCTCTGTCAGGCAGTCCCCACATGCCCACATCAGCAGCCACAGAGTCACCAAAAGGTGGGAGGAGGAGGAGGAGGAGAGGGAATGAAGGAAAAAGGAGTGAGAGGTGTGGGCAGAGATTCAAGACAAGGCATGAGATATGGCAGAGGGAAGAGAGCAAAGAAGTGATAGTATTGTGAGTAGGGTGAGAAATGGCAGAAGGAGAGCAGATAAAGAAGTGATGTCAAGAGGGAGAAAGCATATTTTTAGGGAGAAAGGAGGGTGGAGGGGAGAGAGAAGAACACACAGGCTTAGAGTGGAAAAGAAAGTGAGAGCAAGCAGCAACTGAGTTAGTGTCAGGGGAGGACAGACAAGATATACCGGCGGCTCCAGCAAACCCTGGAAAAGCTGATGCTGATTGGTAATTTGCTCGAAAACCACTGTGTTAGCAGGAGACATATCATTACTGAGAGAGTGACATAAAATAAATCTCATGTTGCAAAGCTAACTGCTTAGTAAGTAAAATCATTGCACTTTGTGGCTTTACTTTACCTTTAGAATGACTAGGTAACCACAGCTCTAAGAATAAAGTATATTGATACAGCACAAATGTGCCATAATTGAACCAAAATATTGTAAGCATTCACTAGATGCACAGCTTTAAGGAAATTGCACTCCTTCAGATTTTTATTACTGTTAAATTCACAGTTCTACCCAGAAGCATTTGCCCTCATATTTATTTTAGTTTTTTAAGAAAGTTTAAGAGGACATGTAGTGCAAAATGCACTTTCTTAACCCTTATTTATTTTTTTGTAGTCTCTAAGATTGCAGAAAGTAAAATTCACTCTGTATTCCCTATTTTTTAAACAAAAACTTCAGTCATTACTGCAGAAAATCTAAAATGGGTTATGGATTTCAGGCTAAATACTTTAGAAAATCTGCCATTTTTATTTCTCACAGCTTTCTCACAGATTTGTCCAAGGTTAAGGAAGTCCCAGCTACAGATGAAGAAGAGTCAAAATGTTCAGTCATTGGTGTTTTAACCACCCAATTCATTACTAAAACATGAGAACCTCTTTGAAGTGACCGATTAATCTTTATTTTTCTAATTATTTTGATGTATCTCCTATTTAGAAGATAGAAATTGAAAATTTAGCAATAGGACCATGCCTGACTTTAACACATATAACATAAACTTTCTTACTTTGACTGTTTTTAGCAGTTTTTCTTACGTAACATTTAGTAAGACTGAAGGTGCTTTCACACTGAACACGATGTCTGCAGCAAGAGCAGTGGATTACCAGAGTATCCCTATGCAAACTGCGCGTTCTACAGCAATGAAATCCATGCGGGGAGAGCGGTCAAAGCTCTGCTCTCCCCGGATGCTGCTTGACATAACTAAGGTGTTGTCAAACAGTGACACAGCGCCGAGAGAGTGGGAAAAAAATCTGAAATTTTGTGTATAATCAGATCACGGCAACTATTAGGGTCTGGTTGTGGTTCTGATGTAGGTTAAACAATTGTAGCAAAGCTTTTTTCAGTCAAAATGGAATATAGAGGAAATAATGATAAAAAAAGCATAAATTAAAGAAAGATTTTAAGCAGTTTATAGGTGTTTAAATTTAGTCCACGTATAAACAACAGAGAATACGTGCATCCACAAAATATGACATGGGGTGCCAATATAAATCAAATGCTTCATAACTTCTCTTTGTCAGCACATTGCACTTGAAGGATGAGTTCTTCAGCAACCTCCACCAATATCAAATAGGATTTGACAAGACTGTATAATTGAGGGGTTACAGTAGTTCCTACTTGCTATGGTAATGATGGACACATCAAAATGGTAAACTGCAAATAAAACTAGATAATGTTATTTATGCTGTCAAACAGAAAAGAAAAAAGGCTGAACAGAGTTGAAGTTGACCGCTCTGCAACCTTGTGAGGGGCAGGGTGTAAAGTGCTTTGTGCACTTTAAAGATACCAAAATGAGCTCAGTGGTATTATGTAAATTAGCGGGTTGACCCAGGTCTAAATTTCCCACCAAATGCCAGTTGGAGCAGAGCTGTTTTAAGGTGATTTTAACTGAGTCGTTTGACCCGGGTCGATGCAGGTCAGTGAGTTGTTTCCACTGCCACTAAAAGCTAATTGTTTGCAGGTTTAAACAGTTTTTTTGACCAGTGGGAAAGAGGTATAGGACATACCTCAGAAAGGGGGTAAGATAGTGGTTGTTGAAGCTACAATTATGAGGAATTCAGACTATAGCTTTGCAGTTCTACTTTATATAGACTACATCTCAATGGTTTAAATTGAAGGGTTTAAAAGCATATGTCGTTTTAACGTCATGATCCTAACACTTCAAAAATCAACTCAGCTTTTCTGTATATTGTCCGATGCACAATTCCTTCTAATTTTTTACAGATCTTTCCAACCTCACCGTTGGCATTGATAATAACTACAGCATATTAGGGTATATAGATAAATATAATATGTTTCAGAGGCCATCTACAGCCGAAGGTAAAAAGCAGAGAAAAGGGAAAATGGGGTAAGGGAGTACAAGAAGACCTCTGTGGCTTCAGACTGCATATCTATGCTCAAGCAGGACTTAAAACAGAGCAAACAGAGAAACCAAAAGACAACATGCATATTACATGTCAATGTTAGATGACACATGACTTGTTCACATGCATATCATAACATAATGGTAAGTGTTTCTGTTTGTTGTGGTGGTTTATGAAAAGAAAGAAGAAAAGGGGTAAAAAATATTTTTTTAAATAGAGGTTGTTTTATATCATAACAAGTAGTGTTTTAACTTTTTTGTGGAAAATTGTGATACTTTAAAATCATCTGGCTTTTTGCATGTAGATTATTTTGCTGACACCCCAGTTAGCCATACTACATTCTTTTGAAAGCCAAACGTTAGCTTAACTGTATAAAAGGACTAAAACTCTGAGTTTTGCTCTACCTTTTTGAGTGGTTTTCAACCTTTTGCGTATGTATATCTATATACATAGATATATATAGATATACAGCATGTAGAAGGGAGCTAAGATAATTCTTCATACATTTTACGATTTTTGTAAATAAGAAGTTTACAGAATTACATCTTGTTCTAAAAGTAAAACACAGACTTACCAAATTACCAACTATTAAAACCAAAACAGAGCCAAAACATGCTATTGTTAGTCTAGCTTAGTAGTTCTTAGTAGAAGTATCCTCTAAAGGAATGAAAAACCCATGTTGCATTAAAGTGGCCCATTGTTGGAACAATACAGAAGCTTTCTAAACATAATTAGTAATTTGTTGAATGTATACATCTCTAACGTAAAAATGTATAATCTCAATAACAATGTAGGACAGGGCAATACTGTAAATGTAGTGCTTTTTACTGTATATTTAATCAGATTTAATTGTCAATAATTAGATTATGCATAGCCTACCTTATGAAAATTGGGATCTTTAAATGGGTGTTAAATTTACTTTTTAATTACTTCACGCTTAAAGACGTATGTGTAAATGAATTATTAAATACAGGGCTTAAAAACGATGTATTTGATTTATATGTTTTGCACATAGAAAACTGAATTACCGAAAAAAAAAAATCTGATTTCCTTAATTCCTATGTCATTTTGCACATTAAATATGTAGTTGCAAATTCCTGTCTCAATAACAGAAAACAAACAAACAAACAAACAAAAAAATAACTCATTAAAAAAAATATTTATATAATGGAATCTGATATTAACTTGAAACCAAAAGGTTAGGACAAGCAACCTTTCTACTTCATTCACTACTGTTTAGACTTAGAACATATGGTATTTATGGGTAATAAAGGAAAACTACTGATCTAATGTTTTATTTTTTTAATTATTCATCTATAATGGGTCAGATTTGCATACTTTTTAAAATGGAAATAGAGTAATTTGAGGCAGATGTGAAAAGGAAAAGCAACAGAGGAAAAAAATCAGAAGAGAGGATTGAGTCAGAAAGATAGAGCAGTGTTGACTGCTTTGTTGACACTTTGTTGTTTAGGTGCTTGGTTAGTGAATCAGTGGGCAGGTTTATGTAGCAAGGCAGATATGCTTTTGTGTGCTACCTGAGGTGGACTGCCGGTTCCTACGGGGGGAACGGGTAAGGCGTTGGTAGGGGTCGGTGGCTCCGTATAGATCCAGTGTTGAAATACACAATATAACTGTTTTTTGTAAGTAGTCAACCACCGCAAGCCCGTTACAATTCCCAAACGCCAACCTGGATACACAAACATACAGGAAAGAAGCAAAAAAAAGTTACAAAAAACATATGCAATCTTTTGGACAAGGTTTCTCTCTTTAATATAGAAGGTGAAACACAAGCTCTTAAAAAATTGTTAAATGAACTCTGACATTTTGATGCAATTACATACAACAAAAGCCTGTCTTTATCTCACACTGCTGACGCTGCTGTGATTTCAATATTAATGCCACGTTTCCCAGAACATCCAGAGTCAGCTGTTTCCTCCTGGCTCTTGAGGTATGATTGATCAAGAGGAACTTGATAGCCTTAAATCATCCCATATAAAAAACCTTTAGCACTTGAAGCAAAAGGCCTTTTTGTTTAATTTTGTGTGACTCTTTTCATACTTTATTAAAATAAAGCTTCTTTGTTTCAGAGTTTCTTTTTTTAGTTAATTGAGTGGATTTCTCGTTCTGGATGTTTATGTCAGTCAATAGCTGAGGAAATAGCCACTATGACTGAGTATGGTTCAGCACTAGTTCTTCACTTTCACAATATGCTTGTTCAGGATAAGGGGCTGATGCAAATCAAGCAATCAATGGGCTTCTATAAATAGTTCAGTTTTTCCCAACTGGCATTATATGAATATAATATAAAAAATGTCTGCAATGTAACATAACACCATTAATACAAATGTTATTGATTTTAGTTTATTGTAACAATATCAGAGGGATTGGTGGCCTAATGGTTAGAGCATTGTGCTTGGGTGCCAGAGGTCCTGAGTTCAAGCCCCACTCCCACAGCCTGCACTCTGGGTCCCTGGGCAAATACCCTTAAACCCACACTGCTCCCCAAGGGGATGAGTTAAATGCAGAGGTACATTTCTCCAGTGTGAGATCAATAAAGTTCTATTATTATTAAATAGAAGTGAATTTGATTGTATATATTGAAAATAAATAAGATCTGTTTGCCCTATAAAGGACCCTGAGAGGACATTATCTGTGACTTAATGCTGTATACATATATACAATAAAATCAAATAGCAACTGTTAACAGAATAAAAGCTAAAAAACAGTTAATAAATGTTTAAAATTAACAACAGAATCAATTTCATTGAAATTGAACCAATAGCAGCACTACTCAATGTCATAAGGCATTTCTTCATAACTGTTATCTGATGAAGGATAAAATAATTATTTTATTCAATTTTTTATAACTTTGGCAATACAGACTGTACAATTAATTATGTAACAGTTTTTATTAGCTACAGTTGTTGTAGTTATATATCCAGTTGACTACTTTTCCTCTGCACTGAAAGCTAAGCAATATCAACAAAATATATTTAATTCTCTCTTTTTTTAAATTTAAGAGTTTATATTCATAGAAAAGGCAGTTAGAGACAACAAAATAAATCAATATCCACTGGCCATGTTCAAATTGTGGAAAGCTTTAAATGAGAAATTTCAAAAAATGCATTGGCCTTGAACCACACTGAGCTTTTTAAACCAAGCTGTGACTTTATTGGTTTTTGAGAAGCGAGGCTCTTTTCAAAGAAAAGCTATTTAGTATTCTTAAAAGGAAAAAAGAAAGGAGGTGTGCTACTGCTGCATAAACACGTTCACATTTTCTATTCCCTACTACAGCTGTGTAAAAATATGTTTCTTTTCTATGATTAAAAATTGTTCAAATTATATGAAAAAGCATTTTTTTTTAAAGAGAATTTAATTAATTTGCACCATAACATGCCATTTTTCACATCTAGTCTTATGTTTAGTGTTTCTTAGTGTGCTGCAAAATTAACATTGTTTGGTTATTGCTTGACATACAGTTCCTGAATGTTCAAATGTGCTTCCTGCCTCTGATGATGTATATTTTATGCCATTTGAAACCCCAAACTACCTTCTAAAACCCAAATTCATAAAAACCTGTTTAGATGTAATGTAGCCAGCCCAAAGGAAACACAGAAACTAAAACACAGATGGACAGAGCTATGCATATTCAACACCATGTGTGGTTGAAAGAGAATAAGTTTATAAATGGTTTAGGATTTAGTCATACTGCAGTTAAACTTTCCCAGGATGGAATTAGAAATGGAATATGCAATTGTTTTATGCCAGGCCCCGAAAAGTAGACTATGTGCTGCACCTTAAGGATTTTTTCCTTTTTTCCTATAAAAAAGGGGAAAATATAGATGAAGGTGGTGTTCACCTACATGACTTTAGAATTATTCTGACTGAACGTGTGCAAAATATTAACACCTTGAAAGATACAGTTCAGTTCACTGGAAGTCGCTAAGGGCATACATGTCATCAATAAGCAGCTTTTACTGATTACTTTGAGCGATTATTTTTTCAGGACAAAACAACCACACATTAGTTTTTGTTAATCAGAAGAATTGGATGCAAAGGATTTGATGTATTGTGAATTTTTCTCTGATTCACAATGGGTCAAGCATGAAAGCCAAATTTAAAAGTACTGTATATATTTTCCTTAAAAGGATCCTTTTCCCCCCCACTTTTTTCAATTTTACCGCTAAACTCCTAACTGCATATTTTAAGACACAGAAAAATAAGTAAATATTAATCTGTTGTTTTTCTGGAAAATAAGAGATTTCTCTAATTTTTTCATGTTTTGGAGAGTTTAGGACACTTATCCCAGTGGAATTATGTGCAGAAACTTGTGCAATCAGTAAATGAAATTGAACTATCCTGACTGAATCTGTATTTATCTAATTAAAAAAACAAATTTAGATATATTCCTTTGATACAGAGTTAAATAGTTTAAATAATCATTTATTTGCTCTGAAAATGTATTTTGGTGTATTGAAAAAAAAATCTGTTTTTGTTATTTAGTTTAAGTTTGTTAATTCAATTTCAGTTTAAACATTCAAACATGTGTATCAGATAACCAGGTTCACATACTGACTGACTGACTGACGTGGTTTCACATAATCTGTCTGAGAACTTACAAGCCATATGCAGAATTGATGTCCAGGCTGGTGATTTGCTGTGGTGGCTCACCGTCTACCCACAGCAGCTGGATGACCAAGTCTGACTGATAGCCAGGAGGGACGCGAACCATTTTTTCCTTCACTCTAAAACAGATTTAAGGGAGAGAAGCAAGTGTTTTTGCCACAGAGAACAGAAAGATTAAAAGGAATTACACACAACTCCTACTGATTATTTCTGCCTCTAAGTTGTTTTTATTTAATTTTTTTCACTTAATGTTTCTGTATGTAAATGTCAGTATTTCCTTACTTATCAGGAATTATGTTTTGTATTCTGTTTGAACCACAAGCTTACTTGAGAGAGGGGACGCTGTCTTTAGCTCCGTCGGGTGTTCTGCTGCCAGGGCTAACAGGATGTTGGTAGTGGGTTTGGGGTGAGTGAGATGTGGGCTCTGAGAAGCAGGGATTGTTTTCATTCTCAGATGGAGTAATAATATCCTCCGGTTCACACTGCAAACGCACTTCTAAGGACTAGAAATGACAGAAATGCAGAAATATGAATGAGTCCACAGAACCATAACTATGACTACAAGTTTTATTCAATCTATTCATTTCAAAATTCAGAAATGGCTTAAAAACTGCAAACATCTGCAGGACATCAGATAGTCAGTTTGCAGTCTTCCTTACCAGGTTCTTATTTTGACTCACCACTGTCTGAGTGTTGGCTTCATATTTACTGAAGCGATACAGAATAATGTGTGCCGAGATGCCGACCACACAGAAGATGCGACTATGAGGGCACCAGCTAACCATCTGGACAGCAAAAGGATCGTCCTCCCCCATCTCAGCAGCCCGACCATCACCTGGCTTTGGCTTCTCGAACACTTTGGAGGTCTTTAGCTTGTACAACATCTGTAGCGTGACTTTTAAAACAAATTAGAACACACTGGTTTTCTTTTTTCTTTGGCGAGACCTCGTTTTCATGTGCTATTTTATGTCTCTTTCTGGTAATAGCTTTGATATAACTCTAGGCAACCTGCTTAATTAGCTGTGCAGCTTTCCCTATCATGAGAGGGCTATTAATTTGCTTTGGTGTCCTCTCTTTCAAGCCTGTGGCAAAATGGAAGTGACTCATCGGGGATCTCATATTGTTTATTGGATCTTGATGTGTCACAGAAAACCTGAGATGATCTCAAATCAATATTTCAGAGTTGTTTCTAAAATGACAAGGAAATTATTAGAGAAGCGACTTACATGCAGATGCATCCCAAAACTTTATTGACCCATCAGCATGTCTAAACAACAACAAAAAAGCAAGTAAAAAAACAGTTAAATTTTTTTATCTTTTAAGCAGAGCACTACAACATAAAGGAAATAATTTACCTTTCTTTAATTAGTTATTTGTTCATATTTTAGAAGTTGCAACTGTCTTTAAATCTGCAGTAAAGCCATTCATATTGCCTTAACTGAGAAGAACAAATTCAAATCTTAGGTTCCTCTGAAAAAAACCTTCATTATGATCTGAGATTTTTAAAATTTTCACACTGGCTCTTAAGAAAATGCTCTCCACATTGGCATCAGAGACTCAACTCAGCTATTGCACACCCCGTGTGTGAGAATAAGTTAACAAGTCTGTCAGCCCCATAAAAGACACCGGTTCTCCTTAGCCTGGAATAGACTCAGGTCACACTAGTGAAATAAGTGAAACATTATTACATATACAAAATAAGTTGTGTGAAAGGCAAGCGGAAATCCCTCAGATGTTCTTTTTCTTCCATTTCTATCAAAATGTCAGACTTACCCTGTGATGATGATTTCTGAATAAGTGTGGGAGCCTAATGTCCATGTTCCACCACCAACTGGCCACTCCTTAAGAGAGAAAACATCATTTTAAATTCTTATTACAACATATTCTCATTGTTGTCCCCAGTGTTTGTAAAATCTTTTTTGAAAATCATTTCAAACTCCCATAACTTTTGACAGACATGCATGATTTCACTCCATAATCCAAAACTGGGTTGATTTAAAACTAAACAGATGATAATGATAATGAAATGCACTAATAAGGTTTGTATGAAAATTGTTCTATGGGGTTAAATAATTTCTCTTATGTAGGAATGTAACAGATTTTCTTATAAAAGTCTGAATACATAGACAAAAAAACCGAATTGTTCCAAAGCATAATCTCTCCATTAGGTCCTCCTTAGTCCTAATAGCTAGAGGTGGGCAGTTCCAAGAATTTGCAGCATAATTCCTATTTTGATCAATGCGATTAAGTAAGTAAGATACCATGAGTCAGTATCGCTGGTACTGATATTGATACTTTTATTTAATTAAAGTTTTATGTATCATGAATGTATTCATCTTTTGGTGTTTTTTTTTGTGATTTTTTACTTTAATATTTTATGATAGTTGAACAACGGAAAAATAACAAATTAAGTTTAAAGCAATTTCAAGCATGTTAAAACATTTGTATCTAAAAAAAAAAAAGACTTTGGTGAATCTGCAGCAGTAGAGCCTGCAGAAGAGACAAAAAAATTATTGGTCTTTTCACTGGACTATAGTTTAATATCATTACCAGTTTTGGTATTGTTATTATGGATTCTAGGATCGATCTACCCATCTCTACATATTGCAGCAGAACATTAAGGACATCTCTGAGAATGTTTTATCTGGATGGCAAAAAAGATAAATATTCCAGTAAGCTGAATAAAAAACAAGTGGACAAATAAATAATATTTTAATTTATCCCGCACAATAATTACAGATGCTCTTATAAATCCTCTTGTGCCTTAAAAAAATCCTGTTTATTGTTCAGTTACTGAACCATTCACTCTTTAATGTGGAAGCTGTGAGGAAAAGACATTCAAAGTGATCTGTTTTAGTATTAAAAGAGTTGCTTACTTGATTACAATGGATGAAGAAAAAGATGAGTAAGAAACTAAAAATCAAATCCCATTTGCAGTAGATGCATACCTATTGCAGGAGATGCATACCTATAGTCCAGGATTCTAGTTTTAAATAGTCACTCTTTAGCAGTTAAAAGAAAAGCTATTTTTTCCTATTGAGCTTCTAGCATCTATTTGTTGTTTAACGAGTTGATATGGGAATATTTGCAGCCTTTTAGAAATGTCAGAGTTTGTAAGGATTTACGTTTTCCAGGGAATATACACAGAAATGTGTTGAGAAAAAAACTATTTGCCAAGATCCTAAAGACAGTTTAACATTTGAATTCAATAAATAAGGTGTAAGACACCGCCGCCCCTAACATATACTGTATAATTGTTAGCCACTATATAAATAATAGCCACACATGACTGTAAGGGATTCTCCTTTGAATGCTTTTATATTGCTTAAAAAGGTCGTAAAAGCAAAAAAAAAAAAAAAAGAAGCGCAGAAATCTTTCTTAATTATTTGTTTTCAGTATTAAATATGGACCTTTTGACTGTAGCCGGTCTTCTTGTGTTTAGCTCCTATTGAGTAGAGAATGGGGATAATGTCTGGTGGACAATCTGCAAAATAAGCCGTGCAGGTTACAGGAGACTCGTGGATGTCCATGGGATATGGGTTCTCAAACACAGGATAGCTGTAAGACACAACAATTGAAAAGCATCAAACCAGGATATAAGAACAATTACACATAAAGCAGAAAGTGTTGCAAAATCAAAGTGTATTTTTCTTTCTAAAAGCTACTTTAATTTTAAGCTGTAAAAGTACATTGTTAACAATACAAATGTATATAAAGCACTATGTACTTTGTAATAGAAATAATGTTAAAATGGCCTAACAGTATGTAAAATATTACTAAAATATTAACTTTACAATGTGTCAGCGAAAAAGGCTGGGACAGCAAAACACACCAACAGTGAAAATTTAATTTAGTTATTGAACAGCAGACATGTATTAACTCTGTGTCAGCTTCAACACAACTTACTGCTGATCAATGAGAATACAAAATACAATCTGGGTGAACTAACAGTACAGCCATCAGGAGACATTAATATCTGACTGCTGTAATTATCAAATCCAATTTTCAGAGCAAGTTGATTTGAACTGAAGTGTTGATCCACTATTCAAACATACTCTGGGGGCTAAGGTGTTTATCTCTTAATTTATTTTCATCAGCATTTTCTATCTTTATTTCACCCTTTGGAGGTTAATTAACTAAGATGGTGGAAGTTGCACCATGAAAGCAGTGATTGGATTATAACACCAGATTAGGACAAATATTAATAAAAAAAAAATAGAAATCTGCAAGACAGAGTTTCAACTGAAGTGAGAAATCTTCTAAAAAAAACAAAAAAACATTTTCATATACAAATTTATACAGATTTTCCTCTCTGAAAGTATTAATGATATGTCCTTTAATTAATTTAAAATTGAGACTCAGGTTAAATTTTACATGTAAAAATAATTTTATCTTTGGGTGAAAACTGTGACAAAAAGGGTTTCTATTGGTATCCTGAAGGTGTAGACTTGCCTTTCCTCAGTGGTAATGCATTATGATGTCGCTTGTCAAAAAGAGAAAAAGAGAAGCTCAGAGGTCTCGCTTGGTGATTTCACATCAGTCTCACCTCGCAGCAAGTGTTTGTGTGTGTGAGTGTGAGGGTGGGTGGTGTTTGGGAGGGTATGTGAAACACCTACTTGCTCTGTGTGAGATCCACCACAATCAAGTCTTTCTCCAAGAGCACCACCACAGCATAAGGCTCCTGGACTTCTGTAGGTATGAATACAAACCAGTTGGGATCATTTGGATTCCAGTTGTCTTTTTAATAAATTCTGGGATAACATTAAAGTATTTACTACAAACATTCTGATAACAAAAAAGCACTTTTACTCTATCAACAGTAGATTTAAGATTTTATAGAACCCTCAATGTTTTTTTTTTCTAATGCACTTTTATAAGAACTATCATAAGATTTGTCAAAAAGGGGGACCATGATAGGATTGAAACATTAAACCTTAATCGTTGAAATTTAAAATTTTTTATCCAACTTATTTTTTTATTTTTTACTTTATTTTTTAAGGCACGGCAAAAGAAAATGACAAGGTCCCAGTTCTGTTGTATTGTTGGTTTAAAATGTCTATGGTGGTATGGTGGTATTTAAAAACCTTGGTGTTTAATGGATAACAACACTTCAAAAAGCATTGCTCTTGACTTTGGGTTATTCTTCCCCAATTTTTCTTTTTTTATATAGTTTTTGACTTATTTTTACCATTTTACTTTATATTTAAAAGTATAACCCTTAATGCCAGTTTGAAACAATAACCCAACTTTAGTAAATTAAATTCATACAGGACTGGACCAGCACACATTTGACACATTAGACGATAAACAAAATGAGCCAAATTGTTTGTTTTTTACTCCAGTAGTTTTATTGTTCTGCCCTTTAATTTGTTGTAAGACAGGTTTCTGCTACAGTTCATCACGGCTGGAAGTAGGTGTTAGCTTTTTTTAGGTCTGATACAAACAACAGGCACCAGAATAATACAAGCAAACATATTTTGCCAGCAGGTTTCAACATTTTAAGTTAATTTAGGCATTCATAAACTGTTTCAGAGGAGTGATCATAGTGATCTGGATCAGCAGTGCTGTGTCGGTCTCCCTGCCAGCTCTTAGATGAGCTTCTCTGATTGGTTGATGTGGTGCGTTGAGCAGCAAAAGTTCAACTTTACCAACTCCAGCTGCTGCTTATTTAGTGAATAATGCACCTACGATGCTCAGTTCATGAAGTGCTGCGGCTGCTCAGATCTATCAAGATGCACTGTTCTTGCTGCTCAAGATGCTGCAGGACCTTTCGCTGCGCCTTGATGACCATCAACCACTGACTTTGAATGTAAACCAGCTGCCTCTGCTGTTTCAATCATGTGCGGTGTGAACGTAGCATTAGGGCTTAGAGCAGGTCGACGTCTCCAAGATGGCGTCCGTAATTTCTCCGCCGCAACAGCCAATGCGGGCTCTACTCTTACATGTATGTCTATGCATTTTACAGTGATGAGCGTGCACTACCTATTTACAGAGGTCTTAGTTCCAGGTTTGACTGCGACCTGTGGTCCTTTTTTGCATGTCTCTCCACCTCACTCATTCCTCCTTTCCTGTCAGCCTGCTTTATCAGAAAAAAAAAACGAGCCACTAGTGCCGTAAAAACCTCAAAAAAAAAATAAAAAATGTCATCCACTGCCATCTGCCTTTTGTTTATGCCATTGACACCACTGTCTGTAAGTTTGAATTTAATATTCGAGAGTAGAATTTGTTTAAATCTTATTTGTGGAGAATATTTACAGTAAACGTGAGGTTTGACTACTATATGATGCCAATGGTTTTACGTAAGTTTATTTTAATGTTAACATTGAATTCTAAGTTTCTGATCAATGTTTTTTAATGATTCTAAACTAAAAGTAGCTATTTTATGTCTGCATTAAAGTTTTACTCCCTATACGTGATTCAGTGAAATAAAGTGGCGGTAAGGAAGATACATCCTGACTCACATATTCATTTGACTGTAGTTAGGCTTACTGCTAAACTGTGTTAGACACACACAAGGACAGAAGAATATTCATACTAAAGGACAAATATATAAAATGTTAAGTAGGTAATGTATGAAGGTAATTCCAGGATTCTGTGTTAACATTCCCAAACATCTTGGGACTGTCAACACATGGTTTTAAAACCTTTGAACAGAGGTACAATAAAGATTTATGAGAATTGTAACCTATGTACATACCATTATTGTACGGCGTCTCACAGAGGACCATGAATTCTACAATAGGGTGGTCCATTTCTAAAACGGTGATGGCCTTGCCGTGCATGATGGTTAAAGCTGGTCGTCGTCCCGCCTTGTCATATGAAAGACCACCAGAGAAGATGACAAAAGGCTCACTGTTGCAAAAGAAGAATTTAAATTTTCTTAACCACAGTTTGCTTTGCTTAGCTTGTGTCAGCACTTATAAAAAAAGACAATCCAAAAAAACATTGTATGAAATGTGCAAAAATGGAAATTCGAGAGAACAAACCTGCTCCTTGAGGTCTTGTACTCCACTTTCAATATTGGTTTGCATGACTCCTTTCTCCCATCCTTCTGTATCTTTCCTGTATGATTGCAATAACAAAAATAATGGGATGAAATATTTACTTCAGTTTAACTGAAAATAAGCATTTCTTTTAAGGATCTCGGTTATCAATTTCTTAGAAGCATTACTGCAAACTATAAATACATTCCAGATTAGACTAAATGCATACGTTGCCTTTTGTTAATTAGAAGATATTTTTTTCTTTCTTGATCATTTTAAGTAATTTAGTTTATTTTTTCTTTGTATGTATTTATTAACTCTTTCACATTCACAAACCTCTCCTCTGCTGCTTTAAGGATCATGCAAGCTGACAACCAGGTTGTGTCAATAAAATTATGAAAAGTTTTAACACTTATGTTTCCATTTAACCATTGCAGAAAAAGTTCTTAGAGCATAGAGACTGCTACATAGCATCACAACAACATAGAAATGAAGCCTACAGCACAACTTCCCTGCACTGTTCCTCCACCTGCTAGCGCAGTTGTTTTTTCTTTTCCACCCCTTCAAACTCAGATTCATGAGTTACGGAGTTGTGTTGCCATCCAAAATGAACAGAAGAACATTGCAAATTCCCTACATCCTGAGTGCTTCTGGTAGCCTACTGTATACCTCAGGGTTCATGGGAGTTGTTGAGATGCACAGGCCCTCCATCATCATCATCCTGGTTCAAAAATGTTTTAGACTCCAGATCTAACTGAATGTTCTCTACAGAAAATCCTTTATCTAAACTGACAGGTACATTTCGTGCCTGTGTACTTATATCTACTTACATCTGTCTAGAAATCAGACAGACTCTACAAAACTGCTAGTGGATGAAATCCTTTCTGCATGTGTTTAGTTTTCCTTTACTTTGATTTTAGTTATGTATCCGGCCAAACAGATTATAGATAATCAGTAATGAAGAGAAAAAAAACAAAACAAGATAGAATAAGAATTCCCTTAACTTAAGAAAATCATATTGCCATTTAGTTTCTCTTATGCATCAATGTTCTGTCATTTTATAGTTCAAAGTGAGAAAATAGCATTCTGTCAAGGTCAAGATGGCATGCCAGTAAACTAACAGAAGTGGGAATGGAAATTTAAAGCACACTTTGAATTCTTCCAAGCACCATATTAAAATCATTCAGCTGAGCCACTGCTTAAAATTTCACAGTGATTAGAATTTTCACTATTTTTCTTTCTTTGAGCATGTAAAAATATTTCAAGGTGACTGAGAGTGTGCTTTGACCAAATTTTATTCTTTCAAGGACAGGCTTAAAGACGGAGTTAAGAGAATTCTAAAAACGGTAAAAATGTCATAAAGGTATGTAAGTCACCCAACCTTTTATGTATGCACTGTGGCACTGGAATTTAGGTTTCAATTCTTCTGTGTTTCAGGATTTTTTTGGTATGAATAAAATTGTGATCTTATGTCATCACACAGCTTCCTTCAGCATAGGCCCGCCCACTGCTGGCCCAGTAGTATAAAACGAAACTGCGAGGCTGCATCTGCATTATTGCAGACTCAGTGACTTTGCGCTCTATTTACCACTTTTTCGAGCCATTAAACTGTTCTCTTCAAAAAAGCGACTAGTGAAAAATCGAACTACTTTTTCCTGTCATGTTGGCGACTCTGGTGACAACACATGATAGCACAGATCACTTTGAGTTTAAGGCCATTAGGAAAAAGTTTATAAGCCCCCCGCCATCCAAAACACTAACAGGGACTTAGATGCAACAGTTTTAGATCAGAGAGCAGAGCAACTGTCCTGGGCTTCCCTATTGAACATAAGTCGCATATGCATTAAGCTTGCACTGATCCTACCTAAATAATAATAATTTAGAAAAAAAATCAGAATGTAAATATACAAGTTAGCTTTTTGTTAAAAAACAATTGCTGCTGTGAAGCAGAAGTGTGGACGTTGCTTCATCGGCCCTAGCAGACACTCTCCATCGTGTCAGGAGAGAGAAAACTGACATATTTCTCATTAGTTTTGAAATATTATTTATGCTTAGGTGAGTTCCTAATAATTCAGACTGGTGTTTAATAAAACACATTTCTGTGAAGTGACAAACTGAGAACGCACATTTATTAATACTTTAAACAGTCTTTAAAGACACAAATACAAGTCCCTACTTATGACCTGACATTTGAATTTGCAACATGGCATTGTTTTAATGTTTATCATATTATGAAACACCACAAAAAAACAAATTCTTAAACCAGTACCATTCTAACTAACAGACCCTTAGGTGAACCTATCTATTGGTATCTATCTAAATTGTTTTAGGAATGCTTGCCTGTTGACAAACACCATAAATATGTTGGAACTAGCGGTGTCAGCTTCATGTAGTGCAATGCATAATTTTATTTTAGAAAGAACTATTAAGGTTTACAAATTTTATCCATCCGTCCTGGAAAAAAGCATCCCCTCAGTCTGGTGCTGCCACCACCGTGCTTCAGATTAGGCAAAATGTGCTTAAGGTGATATCTGCTGTTGCTTTTCTGCTTCATTCAAAGGAAATAGCTCAATCCTCATCTATTTTGTCTCCTTTTGAGCACCTTCCCTCACAGGCTTGGTGTGCCCCCATGACTTATACCAAACACAAACAAGACTTTTTTTTTTTTTTTGTATCCTTTCGTATAAGTAAAATTTGTTGAGTACAGTAAACGACTAATAGTTGCTCTGTCAACAGATTCCCCTTGCTGAACTGTGGATCTTTGCAGTTTCTCCAGAGACATTATACGCCTCTTGGCTTCTCCACTGATTAATGCTCTTCTTCTATGGTCTATATCTTTACATGGATAGTCAGGTTTTAGTAGATTTCCTGTTCTATTCTGAAGTGTTAAGGCCTTCACAGAAGAGCTGTACTAATGCTTTGACATATATATACATTGTCTAATGTAGATATATACACTCACTGGCCACTTTATTAGGTACCCCATGCTAGTAACGGGTTGGACCCCCTTTTGCCTTCAGAACTGCCTCAATTCTTCGTGGCATAGATTCAACAAGGTGCTGGAAGTATTCCTCAGGGAGTTGTGGTCATAAAGGGTTGGACATGGTCAGCAACAATACTCAAGTAGGCTGTGGCATTGCAAAAATGCTCAATTGGTACCAAGGGGCCCAAAGTGTGCCAAGAAAATATTCCCCACACCATGACACCACCAGCCTGAACCGTTGATACAAGGCAGGATGGATCCATGCTTTCATGTTGTAGACGCCAAATTCTGACCCTACCATCCGAATGTCGCAGCAGAAATCGAGACTCATCAGACCAGGCAACGTTTTACCAATCTTCTATTGTCCAATTTCGATGTGCTTGTGCAAATTGTAGCCTCAGTTTCCTTTTCTTAGCTGAAAGGAGTGGCACCCGGTGTGGTCTTCTACTGCTGTAGCCCATCTGCCTCAAAGTTCGACGTACTGTGCGTTCAGAGATGCTCTTCTGCCCACCTTGGTTGTAACAGGTGGTTATTTGAGTCACTGTTGCCCTTCTATCCGCTCTAACCAGTCTGGCCATTCTCCTCTGACCTCTAGCATCAACAAGACCATTCTCTGTAAACCCTAGAGATGGTTGTGTGTGAAAATCCCAGTAGATCAGCAGTTTCTGAAATACTCAGACCAGCCCTTCTGGCACCAACAATCAATCACCTTTCTTCCCCATACTGATGCTTGGTTTGAACTGCAGAAGATTGTCTTGACCATGTCTACATGCCTAAATGCACTGAGTTGCCGCCATGTGATTGGCTGCTTAGAAATTAATTGTTAACGAGCAGTTGGACAGGTGTACCTAATAAAGTGGCTGGTGAGTGTATATATATATATATATATATATATATATATATATATATATATATATATATATATATATATATATATATATATATATATATGTGTGTGTGTACACACACACACACAGGTTAAAGATGTCTTAAACAACTATTCAACTTCATAAAGTTATTTCCAAAGTCTTGGAACTGCCACAGAAAAAGGTCTGTCACCTCCAAGCTTTCATTGTATCCTTGGCATATCCAGCAAAGGCTGATACACTGACTGGAGTGAACAGGATGGGCAATGTAATTCAAGAAACTCCAAGTGGTATTACAGGCCTTTTAAAGATTTAGGAACAAATAAAGAATGTTAAAGTTAAGCCTGAAATAAACAGGCGGCCAGTAAAACGAGGCTAAAACATGAGTTCCCATGCTTCCCCTTTGTTGTAAGAACCATCCAGGCTTTTACTTTGTCAAGGCACTCAAATATTGACTCCAAAAAAAATGGTTTCTTCTTGTCTCAAGGGAACATATACCTGGCACTGGTCAGCATGAAAATGAAAAGCACATTTATAACTCAAGAAAACAAGATATAATAAGGAAGGGCTAAGAAATGAGCCTTGCAGGATCCCAGGGGAAAAGAGAACAGAGAAAGATAAAAAATGGCTCTGGTTTTTCTATGAATTAGGGTAGTCTCTTGTAAGCCTTTGAGGTACTCTAATTAGGTGATTTAATAGCTGCAAATCGTGTTTTTAAATACAGTTCTTAAATCCAACTAAACCAAGACCACATAATTTACGGTATCCATAGCTTAAAACCAAACAAAGAAAAACCCCTGAAGGATTTTTTTTTTTTTTTTTTTAAGTACAGCAATAATTTCCAACAATCCAGTTTGCCAAAAGGGACATTATAAAAAAAAAAAATGCATGCATGCATGCAAGAGAATTTTCTCTGACATTACCAGCAAAAGCAATAATGTTCATGCCTTATTTGCCATGTTCCTGCAGGCCCTAAAAACAGAAGTTTTCAAACTGCTGTTGGAAAAAGAGCATTTAAGACAAGCTGCTACGGCAGAACTGCAAACCTATTTCAAATCCTTTATCAGTAAGAATTTTGAAAAAAATATTAAAAACACCTTCCTGACAATTACCAGCCATTTAACATATTTAAAGATGTTGTAAAAACGAGGTCATGTGTTTGTCTTTTGTAATATTAATACCTTGTAGGGTTTCTTTATAGATCTGCCTAATAAGTCCACCAGACAGCTACAGCTACAAAATGCTGCTGCTCACATCCTTATTAATACTAAGGAGGTGGAGCACATCACCACAGTTTTTAAGTTGTTAAACTGGTTCCCAGTATATCAAGAGAATAAACTATGAAATAGTTTATAATAATTTGTTATAAATCATTGAATGGCTTAGCTCCAAAATAAATCAACAGACTGTTTCAATTAAACAGACATCTCGGGTCTTCTGACGTATGTATACCGAAAACCATAACCAAACATGAGAAAGTAACTTTTAGAAGTGATGCTCCACTAATCTGAAACAAACTCCCATAAAACTGTAAAATTGTTGCAATCCAAGTACATGGAAACCAGCCAAGTTGCATGGTGCTCTGAAGTTTAAGTAAGTGTATCTCACCATGAGGAAAGGTGACTTGGAATGGCTTGGTGGTGTTTCTAAGGTTCCATAGTGTTAGGCTCCCATCAGAGTGACTGCACATAAACTGTTTCCCTTCATGGTGCCAACTGACTGAATGGATAGCCTGTGGTAATAAGACAAAGATAAAGATTTAACTTTTATAACATTTTAACATTTGCTTTTCACACATTCTTATAGATTGAGGTGGTGTGAGACTTTAATGCAATTTCAAAAATGACGCACGAGTGATATCAGAAGTGATATCAGAAGTGATATCAGAAGTGCTGCGTAAGTGCACAACGACTACCTTTAGATAGACATAAGTAAAGTCTCTAATGTAAACATGCAGGTGAAAATATTTTGATTGGATTTGGCAGGATAAGAATAAAATCTTAAATCAACTCAAATGATTGGTTTAGGCTGATTGGCAATTTGATTAGCTTGCATGTAAATGCTTGTCAGGATCAAGTTACTCTGAATGAAGCAAGCTGACCCTGGCGCACATATTCACCCCCACATGAATGTGATATTAATCAGCTTCAAGTGGTTATTTGTTCGTCAGAGAATTATTATCATGTTTACAGGACACATTTTGATTCCCATCAGTCATTCTATTCTAATAATTTCTTTCCATATAAATTGTATATGAACATCTGTACAATTATCCTTTGTTTTTAAGTCTGATTACATTATCATCTTATGGTGAAATTGTTATTATGTACAAATAACTAATGTGACAAGTTTGAAAAAAATGAACAGGAAAAAAATTAAGGATTATTTAGAGGAGCACAAATAATTTGCATACAGTATTTATATCCTATCAACTTACAAATATCTCATCTAGAAAATTCATTCTAAAACAAAATGAAAAAAGAAACTAGCTTCTTTAAGTAGTAACTGGTTTTAAATTGTTTAGTAGAAAATATAGCAGACTCTTCACACCACATCTGTTGACCTTTAAATCATTGGTATAATATTATTCTTCAAGTAACATTCTAGCCTTGCTAAAATGTGGGCCCACCAACTAACTCTTTAAAAAAAACAGTAATAAGATGGTAACTGCATCATAACCTTGTCAACACTGTAAAAACTGTCTCTTGAGAAATCAACTTTCATGTGACCACAGTTTCTGTTACTACTGTATGTTATAGCAAGTACCTCATCATAGTAAATTCTGAAGTCAGCCTTCTTGGCCCGGAGGTCCCACTGCACAATGGTTCCACCTTCAAACCCTATAAGTAACTGAAGAGAGGGATGAAAAGAAAGGGAAAACAAAGTCATAAAATGTTTAAGGGCATATTTTATCAGATTTTTTTTAAATAGAAAACCTATAATTATTTATAGAACATACAAAATATCTGATAAATAATTTATGTCACACCCAAGCAGCAGCTGTGAAGCAACTTATTATCCTAAATGGAAATCAAATTCATTACAGAAATTTGACCCATGAATCGATTTTTCAAAGTGAAGTTGTTCAATCTTTTCTAACTAATCAAGCCCTACAATGTTTTCAATTCTAGACATATTTAGCTGAGGAGTAACAAAAGAAACAGACTACATGATTTTTGTTTTAAAGGTATAGAAGAAGGTTTTTTTTTCGGGTTCATGGGGATTGTCTTATCTACAGTATTGATTGTCCCATTTGCCAATGTTTGCAACTTCCAGCATTTATGTATCCGTTGAGCTTTCATTTCTGTCAATCAGTGTGGCTCCCCCACTCTCACTATATATGAAAATGGCTGAGAAGCTACCTGTCTTACAAGTTTATAAGAAGAAAAAGACCTCAGATAAAAGAAAAAAAATACGCCTGTGTATTTGGGAGTTTTATACATGTGATAGTGGAAGAGCTTGTAGGGTGGACTAGCTCATGCTCAGTTACTCAAGAAGTCACTTGGGTATTTCTTACCTACATTCCCAGGAAAAAATGTCCACACTACTAACTGTAGATTGACTACAGTAAAGGGTTTAACCGTCATCTACTTATTTTTCACATGTTCTACATAAGCATCACAAATTTTCCTGATTCTTTTGACAAAGTAGTTAAAAGAAAAAACAAAAAAACATAACACTAACAACCATGAATTCATGTTGTTCTGATCTTTTCAACTGCCCAAAAAAATTGAATTTAATAAATTTCCATATATGGTGCTAAATCAGATACGTTGAGTTTTCAAATCCTCTGACATCTAAATGTTCATTCTGCACTTAATATATTTTTTCACATTTTTTGTATGATTTCGATATTTTACCTGACAGCAGTCACTAATTGCTTTTTCAAATAGCATTTCTTAATAATTTTGCTGCCTCATCTTAACTTCCTTCTTTGTTAATGATGGGGTCATGAGATTGTAAGATCCTATTGCTGAGAAGTTTAACAACACACACTGCGGCATCCATTATTCTAGGCTATGTTTATTACTTTTAGTGTTAATCACTTTAATCATTCCAGCCACGCATAATGAATAATTTTTGCTTCATCCAGCTAGAATATTATTAAGAAAAAATATTGAAAAACATAGTGTTTTTTGGCGCTAACTTTCTGCGTTTCTGATTCCTTTTTTTTTACTTTCTTTTTATAAACCTCCCAAATATATTCATATGTACTGACAGGAACAAAACCCTACAGAGGTTATACAAAACAGGAAAAGATAAGGGCTGATTGATGCAATCCGATCATAGATGACAAGAGAGAGAGAGATCAGTGGAGCTGGGAGGAGCACAGCCAGTCTGAGGAAATGGATTTCCTGCTGAGCAGAGAACCTGTGGTACATTTCAAACATTGAAATGGGTATGTGAAGCTGAGAATAAAAGCTTCCCTTTAGAAAACCCATCAACCCTAAAGTTTTTAATTAAAACATCACTGAAGAGGAAAAAAACAACAAAAAATACTGCTAATATGCAGATAGAAGATCAATACTGCACAGTATGTTCTCAAAATAACAGTGTGTAATATTTGATGGGAGACCTATTCCATTAAGATGAGCAGCTGCTTTATATGGCTTTGACATTGAGGTTTGAGTCAGACTGCTTGATAAAGCTTGGACTGCCTGAAAATAAAAAAAACATGGCACAACAGACAGGGGGGCAGTCTAAGTAGCCTGCAGACAGAGCTCATAGATGTCTGGCAAAAGTCTGTATTTTAGAAAAGAGTCAAATATACAAACCCAGTGCAGATTTCCAAGAGCAAACCAAGAATTAATTAAATAATAAGTCATGGCTAGGTGAATTTAAGAAAAGGAAGTATGATTAAAACCACACAAGTCTTAAAACGTTTTGTAAATGATCTTGCAAACAACCCTGCCATGCTGTGAATACTCAACCATTGCCAGGACAAACAGATGACAGCTGTGGAACAATTGACTAACAAGTAAAACGTGTTAGTGAAAGCAAATAGAGCAAAGCTATGTAAACAAAATGCACAGGAAAAACCCTATGTTTACAGTAGGTGTAAGTGGGACTTAAAACACAATAAGAACATTTAAAAAGCAAAACAGAAACTCAAACCCACCACAGACAAACTATAAGGAGAACACCACAGCAAGAACTTTGCAATAACATTTTTTTCCCTGCTTAACCCGAGATTTAATTAGCTGAAAACCCATTATAGAAAAAGCATTAGAATCAAATGAGTATGCAAGAAAGGAATTTGCTCTCCACTAAGCAATTTTTTTGTATTCATTTTCTATTTTTAATTTAACTCTATCTATAAGCAAGAATACATATGTGTGTTTAGAGGTATAGGAGTATAGGAGCATCCCAAGCTTTTCTTTTAAAGATTAGTTTCAAAACATTCCCAATTTTCCATCTTAATATTTCTATAGTTTAAGGTGCTTTAATAAGGTGCGAGTCAGCTGGCTGAATGCAAGCTTCTAGAGTTTTCAGTTGTATTTACTTGTACAGGGGTTTCATCGTGTGACTTGCATTGAGATATTAAACAGCCCCTTATAATGATGGTTCTGATTAAATCACAACCATTTATAAAAACTTGTATACTGTATCTGTATTATTACATCCTTCAAAAAAACATACATTACATCCTTCTTCAAAATTCCCATTGAATACGAAAAAAATAAATAATAATAATTAAAAAAAGCCTACCATCTAGAGACATGTGTGTTAAGATGCTGACTTCCAATAGATTACCAGAGCATACACCCTGACTAATGACTCATAAGATGGGCTTCTGGAAACACCTAGCATTTCACTATAAAGAACAAAATTACTGCTACAATGTGTGACTGTGTTCATGGGTATTCAGGTGTGTATGACAGGGAGTGGTCTGTTTTCCTCACCAAACTGCCTCTGTCTGGATTCTAAAATCTGACAGATCTGTGTAAGCATGGATTTAAAAAAAGATTAATAGCTGCACAGCATTTTTCCCTTTCCGAGACTTGCTTTCCTCTTCTGCTGTTCAGCTTACTGTAACTTTAAAAAGCCATTTCTTTTTCATATAAATAAGTATTCAATATAACTGTGCATTTTTTCCACCTCCTGCTGTTTTTATTCTATTCTATTCTATTCTATTCTATTCTATTCTATTCTATTCTAGCCCTACTGCACCTTGTTCACATAGCATTAACAGAAAAATTTAAACATCTGCATATCATCATTATTTATAGTAGACTCAATAATATGCCACTAAAACAATGCAAGAGCTGGTTTTTCTAAAATTATACTAATACTATACATGTGATTTAGTTCATATGTGTAGTGCATAAACATAATGAGAGTAAGGGAATGCAAGTGAGTGAGTAATAATGGTGAATCTGCCCATTTAGAATAATAATTGGCTGATTTATGAACTAGTCCAGTTATTCAAAAAATAGGTTTCATCGTTTAAGAACAATTAGCAGAATGTTATTCTACCTCAGCCAGAAGTATTGGAATAAATGAGTGTCTTAAAATGAGTGTCCATAGTAACGGAGGGTAATTTCAAAATTTACATATTTATCTTTTTTTGTAGAAGTACACTGCAGTGGAAAAATGAGGCAAGTGAAGTATTCTTTTAGCATACCAATTGTTCATGTGGGCGAATACTGCCTTGTGCAGTCCAGAAAGTAGAAAAGAATAGGGAGCCATGAAGAGATGAAAACGACTTTAAAAAAATCAACATATAAGGCTAATTCTTTATACAAATATCATATAAGCTATAGACCAGTGCTCTAAGAATAGTAACCTTACTTGACATTGCTATTTGGTGTTGCATAGAAAAAAAAAACACTGAAAAAATGACTTTTTATTGTCTGTGTTATCAATAAAAGTATATCTATTTTGCTAGTTAGTATTTTCCATAATACTCATTTCAACTCATGGTAAGAATTTTTTCATTGGCCCATAAGTAAATAAAGGCCAACTTAATAAAAAAAAAAAAATTCTATATATTTATATATATATGTGACCAAATTAATGATATCACTGTTATCTAGGGTGAATAAAACTATCAACTAAAATGCAGCATTCATTATCCTTTGAATAATTATGAATGAATATAAAGCTGAAACTTATTATTATTCACAATTAAAAACAGCCAGATATTGTATTGCATAAACTTATCACAGCATCACAAATATTATATTTCAAATGTGATTAACACCTCAAATTTATCTCTCTAAAAATTCATTTGAGTTAAATTCAATTTAAGGTGTCTGTCCCAAACAGCTTTGATTCTCAGATAAATAATTAAGATATTTCTTGATTTAAACAAGGGCTGGAAAAGCAACGATGATTTTCTTGGTAGGAAACATGTTTTCTAGCTAAATTCAATCACCTGCCCAGAGTTTTCTTGGAAGTACCAGCTCTCTTTTGAGCAGTTCACAGAAAAAACCTTTCCAGATGGCTCTCAGTAACTAACCATCTGGTGCACTGGGTCAAACTGCATTAACAGAAATAAAGTAAAGAAAAAAAAGGAAAAACTATATATATATATATATATATATATATATATATATATATATATATATATATATATATATATATATATATATATACAGAGAGAAAGGGAGAGAATGACTAATACTAGTTAATAATAATATTTCTTAGAATGGGTAGAGCTACTTTGTTCTTTTGTGAGCATATTTCAAAAGGCAAGAGAAAACAGAAAAGGTAAAACACAAAAGTCGAAATACAGCTTGTATCCTTGGGATTTGTAGCTGCCAGATGTTTTGCAGCGAGTGCAGTAGTGACAATAGGAAGGCTCCTTAAATCTGAGCTAAAGAAGCCAAGAGATGTTGCTGAGCTCCTCTGTTATCCACCTACTCACCTTGCCTTCATCCTTCGGGCTGTCACTCAGATGAACAACGGGTCCTGGATGGGTTTTAGTTGATCTGAGATGAGAAGGAAGATGAGATATGTAACATGGGTATCCACTGTAATGCTTTAAAACCACAATACCAGAAGATAATTTTGTTTTTAGAGCCAAAGAAAAAGGTGTACGATTTCTCTTTCACCCAGATCAGTACAACTAAGTACAACTGGTTGCTTAAATGAGGTAAAATATTGCTGCTAAAACCTTGACATTTAGAGGCACGAAAATAAAATACCCACTGACTGTATTTACAGAGTAGTGAGTGAGAATAAAAAGGGCCTAGGGCAGCATATATACACATAAAAATGTGTTTTTCAGAACTGTAATTTTCATGTAATAAAAAAAGAATCCTGCTGACAGTTGAATTTAGTAAATTACCCTTTTGTGAAATAATACATGTCCTGTGCTTTCTAGAGGGAGTTTCTTTCTATTTATTCGCCATGGAGGCTGAACAATGACATGCAATCGAAGAACCATTTACACACCTGTGTTCTACTTCTCACTCTGCAGGGGCCTACAATATAAAAGGAATGCGCAAGATTTTATTTACACATAAAAAATAATAATGATTGTATTGCTTAATACATTAGGGCACTAATGATAATTAGCTTAGTGACAGATTTTTTATTGCTGTACAATAAAATTCGGACCCCTTAAACTTTATTTGCACAATTTACCAGAAAGTTTGCTATGTTTTATTTAGATTTTATGTGAGTGAACAACCAAAAATAAAATGGTTTGTTAAAGGAAATGGGATAATGTTATTCAAAAATACAATTCTGAGAAGATTGATGTGGCATTTTTATTTATATTCCTTTGATGTATTCTGAATACAATCCAGTGCAACCTCTGTCATTCAGAAGCCTCCAAAGTTATAAATATTTACATGTATGTGATCTAATCTCAGTATAAATTCAATGATTCCTCAGAGAGTACCAGGAAGCAAACAGCATCATCACTGTTGCCGGATGTTGTCATGTAGCCTGCTTGATTAAATGTTTTTTGGGCATACTGGCTGGATGCCTCTCTCTGCTCTGTTCCACTCTGCCTCGCTCCTAATTACACCCATTCCTCTCAACTGTGATCATGCTTATTAATACCTGCCCCTCTCTGTTAGTCTTTGCCAGATTGTCTCCTCCTTTTCGGCATTGGGTTAATTGCATCATTTGCAGCTTTTGCTTTTTTCCTCACCCTGCCACTGGATTCGCATTGGCCTCTGACTGGTTATTTCCTGGACTTTCCCTGTCTGTAATCAGTCTGTTCTACCTACCTCTAGCCTATCTAAAGCCAGTTATCACTCTGTCATCAACCTGCTCTAGTCCGCTGTCAAAAACATAAAAACATAAAACTATTAAAAGGGAATTGGTTTGCTTGGCTGCGATGGACTGGCGACCTGTCAAGGTTGTACCTTGCCTCTCGCCCATTGACTGCTGGAGATAGGGACCAGCACCCCTCGCGACCCCACTTGGGACAAGCGTGTAAGAAAATGGATGGATGGATAGATGGTTTGCTTGGGAGAATTTCAGTAGTCCTCCAATCTCATATCAGGCATATTTAGGGTGACCAAACGTCCTCTTTTCCCCGGACATGTCCACTTTTTACGTCCTGTCTGGGGCGTCCAGAGGGGGATTATATATTCATGAAATTTTCCTATTTTCACAGTTTTTCATGGGATTATAATCATATGCTTAAATCGACAGGGGCTTTGCACAGAATACTACGGTACTTTGCTGCCCGATATAATTCTCGAGGGACTGTCTTGTGGAAGGGTCTAGAGAGACATTAAAGCATGGAACACAAAATGCTGAAACATAAATTAGAAAAATTAGCAGGTACTGTCCTGGTCGAATCAAGTGGGAGGCTGTTCTGCAAAGTTGAATGAGTACTTTGTTAGACCTGGGGAAATTAGTTTAAGCTATATTTTCTAATACAGAAGAGGTCATATTTAGAACATTATTAGATTTTATATATGTATTTTAAAAGGGAGCTATAATTTTGTTACTGGTTGTCACATATTTTGTTTTACTAAAAATTAATTTTTCTACCATTTTGGTATGATAAAGCGTGCTCATTAACCTTTGAGAAGCCTGTCTGAATCTGTCTCGAGGCTGGGCAAACTTTCTGCTTTTTTGGAAATCCAAATATGGTCACCCTAGGAATATGCAACATGTTGGACTGTCTTAACCTAATATCCTAGTGTGGGGTTGCTCCCTGAGGACAAATGAGCATGCAACCTGCTAAATGTGGCATTTAGTAAATCGTCAAGTGAGTGGTTTCCTACTGTACGCATTTTCTCAGGAATTTTTCTGTGTATAGCTCCATCCATCTTACCACGTACTCTGACCAGCTTGCCTGCCCCTTTTTTAATAAAAAAATAATCCCAAAAATTGGCAACTGCCATTACAGTATCATGTTATGAAGACTGTTTGTTCCAGGTAACATAAAATGCTAGATTTATGCCATACCAGAGGATTTATAGGTTAACCAACCAGTTGAGATTTAGAGCATCCCCTTCACGTTTCCCATGTAGCATAGTTTTCAGAGAAGTGCACACAGACTCTTTATAGCCGTTTTTCAACAATGGGTTTCATCTTATGAATTTTCCATGAGGGTAAAATTTATAGAATAAATGGTTAAAGACCTGTCAACACCTTTAGCCAGTCTATTGAGAGGGTGTAGCTCCTTCAGAGTTACCATGGGCCTATTAGCGGCTTCTTTGATTAATGTTCTCCTTACTCCTAAATTCAGGTTAACAATCATGTCTCAAGTTCATTAATCTATAAAACCTTTACAAAACTGGGGTTAAATCACACACATATTCATGTTCTGTATTAATTTGGGACACAGGAGTCAGATCTTGCATATCCAAATTATTTTTTTTTTCTATTTTCTCAGTACAGTTATGAAGTCAGATAAATAACCTTAATCAATGACCATAAGGTGTGTTATGCATGACAAAATATGAAAAAGTCCAAAGGGTTTTCATACTTTTTTAGAGCTCCGTTATAATAATGTGGCAGATTAAAGCATGAATGAAATGCTAAGGCACTGTTTAACAGCACAGCAGAGTACAAAACCTAATTATTTTACCCACAATCCCACTGCACAGGTGCTTAAATACAAAAAACACACATATACAATCAAAAATATTCACTTGACATTGTAAGTGTGAGCACATTTCTGAAATGTCCACCTTTTCATGAAGACTAAATGGCCCCCATACCTACTGTAACTACCTGCACGCACATGGATATGAATAAAGGTCAACTAATAGCAAAAGGCTCTCTTGGAGTTTATTAAAAAAAAAAAAAAAAACTTGATGCACAGAGAAAAATGTTCTCTGCACTTATTGAATTTTCCATGGCCATGACTCGGGCCAAATGCTTCCTTCTGTATACCAAGCTCTATTCTTTGGCTGCTGAAAGCCTCCAAACAGCAAAGGCAGATATGAGAATTTCAGATGAAATTAGTGACTTCGTAATAAAGTCACCTAGACAACTGACAAGGCCAGGCTTTCAAATCACACATAATCAAGATGAGCAGGAAGTTCTAAGTAAAAAAAAACAAAAAAAAAAAAACTGAAGAATACTCGCTGTACTTCACTGTATTCTGAGGTTAAATTGCAGTTTAACATTTCTTTAAAAATATGTTGATTTTGCTCTAAAAGACAACTGTCTTCAATAATGTGAGTCTGCTTGTGAATCTAGTATTTAACTTTGTTTATTCTATGTGTTTCATTCTTTGTTACCAATTTTTCCCTGCCTTTCAACCCCCCATGCGCTTCCATCACACCTCCCCTGGTCCGCCTTCCTGACTGTATTCATGCCCCATTCCATCTAGATCAGCAGTAGGAACACAGGTCTGGGGATTACGCTACATTTGCCTCTGTTGTGCAGCATTAAGTGTTAAAACCTGTGGGATTCTGTAATTGTTCAGGACAGGATTCAAACTACCGGTAATGGCTGAAAATAATATCAACAAATATCTTACTGTTCAATCATTATTGCATAGTAGCCCAATTACTCTTGAATCGTTAGGATTATTATTGACCAGAAAAAAAGCTAAGATAAGCATTTTTAATGACATTGTTTTTTTTTTTTTGTTGAATGCTAACTTATCTTTTTATCACACAAAAATGGTAAAGAAAAAAGCACATTTCTAAAAAATAAAATGGCTTGGATTTGCTTAAAATTATGCCAGTAGCAGAAGCACTTAACATACGCGGTTTTTAGTACCTACCTACATATTTGCTTGAATGGTGTTTTACATTGGAGGCTTTTAGCTATACTGAATATGAACATAATTATACAAGGTCCACTAACTTTCAAAGCCAGATTTCCAACATTCGTGTATATTCTAGCTGATGACATGGATTTAAAATTCTGCCTTCAGCAGAAAAATAAGGGTTTCGGTGTGTCTAAAATTTGCTATTTCGTCTTTGTTTCTGTTATTCTCTTTTTTCCCTGCCAGCTTTAATGGTTAACAGCTATATTTCCCAGTTTCTTAAAATTATGACTTCTGATTCTTATCCATAAAATGACAGTGACAAATCACTCAAATGGGAAAGTATAAAAGTTATTTTAACCAGCCAATCTCCACAGTTATCATAACTCATGGCCACAAGCCTAAAACAAAGCAAAAAATAGAAATTTAGGATATGGATTTACATTCTGGTCCTGTATCATGTAAGGAATTCATTTTTTTTTTATTTTGTCAAATGGACTCATGACCACATAACTTCTTTAAGAGGGTTTTAAGAAAGCTGCAGGTGTTCTGATAACAGCAAACGATTATGTTGGGGAAAAAGGCAAGATTTTTAAACTATATGTCCCTTTTTGCCCTTGAGAATCACAAAATAAAAGAATTGAATCAGAAGAAGAATCAGAAATGAATTGACATAAGAAACAAAATTAATTTATTATTGTAAAGACAAAAGCCTGGCCAGGACATTATTTTCTATCTATGGCAGGGCCATTGGAACCATGGCAACCTGTCATGGTTAGATGAGAGTAAATAATC